ACAGGGCATTCTGGGAAAAGGCACAGCAACTTACGTGGGATTTGACTTCCACATCGTACACCAAGCTGTCCCAAAGCCCATGGAATTCAGCTGTGACAGAATTAAACAAAGACCTGATTTCAGGAATGCAATTGCAGCCATCCCAGTCTCCCCTGAGCCTAAGCCTGAGCTTCCCACTGTGCTGCACGGCGTAAGACTACAATTCCGATTACAGGAAAGTATAAATTCTGCAAAGTTTTCTTCAAATTTTAGTTTTTATTAAAATCAAAGATGTAAAATAAATGTCAGTCACATATAACTTTTGGCAGATAATTGGAGTCAAAGAATTACACTTTATGTCTCGTTATCATGTGCAATGGTCTGTTAAAAAAACTTTAAACTTCCCACCCATCTTTATAATATTGTTGTCATTTATTTTACATTTATGTATATCATAATCCCTACAATATGTTTTCATTAAACTATCATTTTTTTGGTGGTAAACACATTATAAAATTTATGATCATGACCATTTTCAATTGTCTTTTACCCATGCTTCAACACAAGTTCAGACACTAAATCCACCCGTTTCTCCACAGGCTGACTGAACGAAGCCCTGGGCTCGGCCTGCTGGAGCCCATCAGCGACACCTATGGAGAAGCATCAAGCAGACAGCAAGGAGCCACTCAGCAGAAGAGACCAACCGGGCATGTGAGAAGAGCACATGGGCACTCTCCATTAGCCGTGAACTCTGAGGTACCCGCCCAAAGGAACAGTATGGTCCCACCCTAGAAATCTCTACTTTCCTCTTTTGTGATATACTTTCCATTTCATAAGAGAGAAAACATCCTAAAATCCTACAAAACAAACGGACAAACAGAACCCCCCGGGAACTGACATGGCATGGAGTATGCAGTCCTCTGACCTCGGCCTCCCCCTCATCTTCCATCACACCCCATACCTGCAGGCAGAACCCAGTGATTTGCTGCAATTATGTTTTCTGTCTCCTCTTCCAGATTTTCACTGCTGGGGCCATCTTCATTCAGCTGGAAGATGTGAAGTGCAACAGTGCATGCACTCAAATCGATGGGCTAAAATGAGGGAAAAGCCAAATAAATCCACACACATTTATAATCTCTCACTTAATTCCAACCATACAAATTAGATGTTAAGGTCCACAAATAAAAACTGAATGTATAGTACAATAAAAACTAGTTCTCAGATTAGATGAGAAGGCTGTTATTTTATTTCAGATTGAGGATTAGCTCTTCTGAAAGCTAATACCCATCCCTTGCCCTTTGGGCCCTACATTTACCTACAGAATGAAAAAGTGCCCTAAATCCAACCTCTGGGATGTTACCATAGTCTATAGATATACTCACACAGATTGGACCAAAAATGGAGTTTTACCACATAGGGTTTTGTTTGTTTTTTTAATTAACTTATTTTTTGAGACAAGATCTTGCACCCAGGCTGGAGTGCAGTGGCACGATCACAACTCACAGCAACATCAAATTCCTGGACTCAAGTGATCCTCCCACCTCCAGCCTCCTGAGTAGCTGGCACTACAAGTGTGCGCCACCATGCTGGCTAATTTTTAAAAACTCTTTTTAGTGATGGGGTCTTGCTATGATCCCCGGGCCAGTCTCCAATTCCTGGCCTCAAGTGATCCTTCCATCTGTCTCCCATAGTGCTGGGACTACAGGCATGAGCCACCTTGCCCGGCCGGCTTCCTAACTGTGTCTTTTTACAGTTGTTATAGCTCAGAGAAATGTTTACATCGGTAGACAGAAATCTATTTCATTCTTTTTAATGGCTGCGTTGTACATAGTGTAGATACATGGAATTCATACATTTATTAAGTGATCTTTGGTGGACAGTTAAAATACTTCAAATTGTTGGCTATTATTAACAGCATCTAACAAACATCTGTTCAGAAAGATCTACAAAATTGCAGAATTATCAGCTAAGATAAATTCCTACAGGTGAATCTGCAGTCAGATAGAGAACATTAGAACTTACCCTGGGCAGCCCCGCTGCCCTCCAGTTAGGGTGTCCATCCCTCCACAACAGTGTGGGAAGCTCTTCCTTCCCTCAGACTGGCCAAAACCATGGCAGTATCAGATCTCAGTGTGCACAAAGCTCTGAGCATGCACAAACATGAGTCCTAATGTATGAATGGGGAGGTCCACCTCATGAGCAGAACTTAGTACCAAGCCTGTCCTTCACAGCTGGTTTTTACAGGACAGGAATTGTACTGCTGTGATACGTCTTCCCTAGAAATATGTTTCAGGTTGTTTTTATACTGGTGCCAGAATTGCCCCACACAAAGCTCCTCTAACACATACACATGAACTCCAAGGTGGGTGAGGTGGCCATGCATGGGATGAGATGAAGGACTTCTACAAGGCAAGCCCATCTCCTCATCTCTGTGGCCCCCACACCTCCTATGGCCCTAGCACACAGTGAGCACTTCACAAACATTTGCTGACTGTAAGAATGAGACACCCGTACACAGGCCTTACCAGCACAGTCCACCATTCTACAACACTGAATTCTCATTCCTGGTTTCCGATCTGTCCCCTGCTATACTGACAGCACCCTGACATCAGGGCCACTTCCTGCTCCCAGCACCTGGCTCCTGACAGCTAGTGAGAAGAACTTGTCTAGCCACCCAAACCAACAGAGAAGTGAACCCGTTTCTGAAAACAAGCTATGAAAACGGCAAGACATTCATGATACAGCCTTTGTATTCAGCTAACTGTTCTTGGCCCAGCAAATTAGTAACTTACCTGTGAGTCTTTAACCTTTAATTCTGTGTCAACAATAGATACAGACTGCACATTTCTGGCCAAAAAAGGTTCATCAAACTCAGTCCATGTGTAATCACCAAACACAATATTATGTCTGTTGAGTAGCTTTCTAACACTCAGGTTTATGTCTTCTTTCTTTGCAGTGCTAAAAAACAAACAAACAAAAAACCACAAAAACAAAAACAACAACAAAAAAAGCACCAAAACACACATAAATGATTTTCATTCAAAAACAAAATGTTAAAATTAAGTGTTTTCAAAAACTCAGACAATACATAAGAAAGTGCAGTAGTTAGGAGGACAGGCTGGAACTGGCCTGCCTGGAGACCAAATCTAGAGCCACCCCTTGCCTATGGGTCCTTTACCAGCTGTGCCCTGAAGAAGCTGTGCCCCAGCTCCCAGTTAGAAAAAGGGGACAACAGTAAGAGTCCTTGCTATGCTGGGCTACTGTGAAGAGTCATTAATACATTCAAAGTGCTTAGGACGATACCTGGCACAAAGTAAGCAGTCAATAATGGTGGCTTTCACTATTACTAAGGAAGTTCCATAGCTGTGGGGTCAGGCCTGGGGTCTGCATTGTAACAAGTCTTCAATAGCTGTGATTCGTGCTGAGAAAATCTAATGCTTTATGCTTGGCATCCAGGGCTTCCCTTGGCCCACCTTGCTGCACTCCTCCTGACACCTCCCCTTTCTACAACAGTGACCTGGTCCTGGATCACAGCTCTGTGCCCCGCTGTGCACTGTCCCAGCTTACTGGGTTGATGAACTGCAGTCACCCTTTAGGTTCTATTTAATGTCTGCCTCCCTCTGACAGGCTCCCCTCCCTCCTGGACAGGCTCCTCAGAGCCAGGCAGGTGATCTGTGGCCCCTCTGCAATCATCCCAGCACCCTACAAGGCAGCGACCACCATGCATAGAGAGTGTGGTTGTGTGCAGGTGTCTATGAACTCTGGGGCAGTTGTGCGTAGGTGTCTGTCCTCTAGGTGCAGCTGTGCTCTGATGTGATTATGCCTAGCGTCTCTGGGCCCAGGGGTGGTTGTACATGGGGTGTCTCCAGGCTGCGGTGACACTGTGTACAGGTGTCTCTGAGCTCTAAGGTGTTTACACAGGGTCACAAGGCTGTGCTGGGGCTTTGTGCAGATGTCTCTGGGCCCTGGTGCAATTATGCTGACGTGTCTCAACTCCAGCACCTAGAAAGTGACCAGTCAACAAGTGTTCTATTAAAGGAAAGGTTTCTTCCTCTGCATCCCCTCTGAGGCTGGTGGTCTCACTAGACCTCAATCCACCCTCCATGGTCATGAGGAGGGTCTGTGAAGGTCTGGCCCCGCTGCTGAGCTCCCCCAACTCCAGGGAGCAGCACAGCCCATAGGCCCCACATCCCATGAACTGACTCGGTCACAAATGAGTGGGATTTGCTTTGAACCCTAAAAATTTAACATCAAGTCTGTGAGGAACGGGAACAATTAAAGGGTCTGAGAAATAATGGCTCAAAGAACAACCCAATTTCGGCTGCGACTTTAGAGCTCTCTGTAATGCGCGGCCATCCTATCCTCCAACGTGTGACTCAGGGTCAGATCGGTGCACTGGGGAACAGCCGGGCACGGTCAGGGCCAGGTCCGTGGGCTGAGGTCGGGTCGGGGAGCTGGGATCCTGCGCGCAGGACTCGGGTCGGCAGGGTCAGTGCCCTGGGGTGGGGTTGGGTCATTGCGCTAGGATCGGGTCGGGGCCCGGAGGCCTGCGCGCCGGGGTCCAGTCGGGCCGGGTCAGTTCCCTGGGGTTCAGTCGCAAAGGAGTCAGTGCGCTGGGGTCGGGGCGGGTCAGCGCCCCTGGGTCCGGGCTCGGTGCACGAGCTGGGGTCGGGGCTGGTGGGTGCCCAGAGGGTGTGTCGGGCTGGACCGGCTCACCTGCCGCCGCGCTGATGCACCTCCACGTGGACCGTCGGCGACTCGGCCACACAGGGAAGCGCCTGCTTCAGGTCGCCCACGGCCTCGTCCATGGCGCCCCCGAGAGCAGTGGGGACCCGACTGGAGCGTGGCCGCCGCCACCTCACGCCCAGCGTCGCCGCCACAGCCGCCGCCTCAGCCCGCGGGCCCCTCCCTAGCTTCGAATCTGCCGCGCGAGGCGCACCACCCCCTGACCCGGAAGCGCTCGGGCCCGGTAGGACCACTTCCTGCCGCGGCCCCGCCCCGCCCTGCTTCCGGCGCGGCCCCGCGGGCTCGGCAACCTCGGCGCAGTGAGCGCGGGCAGTCAACCAGGGCCAGGGGGCGGTGGCGGCTACTGTCCGGCCGGGTTCCCGCTGCTCCCGGCCCCCGCTCCGGGCCTGCCGCCGGCGCTGCTATGGGCAAGAAGCACAAGAAGCACAAGGCCGAGTGGCGCTCGTCCTACGAGGGTGAGGCGGCGGCGCTTTGTGACGCGCGGCGGGCGGGGTCCCGGGCTCGGGGGAGGAGTTCCGGGCACGCGGACGGGGGTCCTGGGCACCGGGCGAGGTCCCGGCCACCGGGGAGGGGTTCCGGGCACGCGGGAGGTGGTCCTGAGATTTCGGGCCGGGAACCGGGCACGCGCGAGGGGTCCTGGTAGAGGGTTCTGGGCTCGAGGCTGAAAGCCCACTCACCCCGGTCCTGGAGACCAGGGAAGCGTCTGTGCTGGCTTTTGTGTGGAGCTAAGGGAGAAGCTAGGCTGCCCTTTCTCCCGCCTTTCCCTCCCTCTCCCTTACTCCCGCAGCAGCTCCATGGGTGTCAGCGGGCAGCACGGGCGCCTGCAGGAAGTCAGGCGAGGGTGAACCGCAGTGCTGGGGGTTTCTAGGAGGGAGATCGGGCTCCGGGGTTCCAGTTCCCTCTTAATCCATCTTCTTGAACGAGTGATGTGAACATCCCACAGGGCCTCCTCTGGTGAGGACACCGTGACTTGAAAGGGACCTGAAGCTCCCTGTGGAGGGAAAGGGAGAACAAGGAGGCAGTGACATGCCGCCACTGTGGTCTTCCCTTCCGTCTTTCCCTGGTGGTTGGCAGCCCCGCTGTACTCCTCAGGGCGGCCTTTACCTCTTAGCACCGTCATGTCTCACCTGGCTGCGTGGCGTTTGCATCTGAGCACGCGGGTGGAACTCAGTCTGTGTCTGTGCAGATTATGCCGACAAGCCCCTGGAGAAGCCCCTGAAGCTAGTCCTCAAAGTCGGAGGAAGTGAAGTGACTGAACTCTCAGGATCCGGCCACGACTCCAGTTACTATGATGACAGGTCAGACCATGAGCGAGAGAGGCACAAAGAAAAGAAAAAGAAGAAGAAGAAGAAATCCGAGAAAGAGAAGCATCTGGACGATGAGGAAAGGAGGAAGCGAAAGGTAAAGGAGCAGCGGCAGCGGCGTTGGCCCGGACGCCCCCCACGAGGACCCCATGGGGAGCCGGGTCACAGGACCCAGGCAGAGTGCGCCTGCGTGGCTGGAGGAGGGGAGGGGTGTTCCGTTGGTAGCAAAACGCAAACCGCTGAGGCCAGCAGACTCAGTTCCAGGATCCTGGGTGTGCTGTTCCTCAGCGGACCCTGCGAGGGTCTCCGTGAGGAGGGAGCCCGGCTTGAGGAGGGTCTCGGAGGGGGTTTCCCTTAGCTCTGTCCCTCCCCTGAGAACTGCGAGGGGATTGGGCAGACGTGTCTGGATCCCACCTACTCGTGCCCTTCTCACTCCCTTGACTCTGCCGCCCAGGAAGAGAAGAAGCGGAAGCGAGAGAGGGAGCACTGTGACACGGAGGGAGAGGCTGACGACTTTGATCCTGGGAAGAAGGTGGAGGTGGAGCCGCCCCCAGATCGGCCAGTCCGAGCGTGCCGGACACAGCCAGGCAAGGGTGGACCTTTAGAGACTCTCCTGGTATTCACAGCTCGTCATTGTAAATGAGGGTCGGCACCGTGTCCTCTTGCTTTGGGGAGAAGCATGGGAGGGAGGAGAGCTGGTATTTCCAGGGCCTCATCCCGGTGCCCTCTGGATCTGAGGTTTCCTCCAGTGTCTCTGAATGTCTAGAGCAAGGCTTGGCCAGTTACCACTGGTGCCATTAAGTTTTGTTTTGTAACTTATTGTTACCTAAGGATGGTTTATATGTTTTTCAAGGGTTCGTTAAAAAAAAAAGGCATGTCTGCAGAGAGCAATCATATGTGACCCACAAAGCCTGGACTATTTTTTGTCTGGCCCTTATGTAAAAAGTTTGCCAGCCCTGGGTCTATAAGTTTGGTTTTGTCTGCACTTAGCACCCAAAGAGAATAGCATCAGAAGAGTAGCCCCACATGGGTCAGACTGGTGAGAGAGATGCATGTCAGTGAAAACGCAGGTAATTCCTCTTGGGAAGAGGGGACCTGAAACCCCAAATGATGGGTCTGAAGTTGCTGAAAGTGACCATAGGCTGAGACAAAGGAAGCTGAAGGCCTTCAGTAGAATTTCTGTCATGGGCACCGTCTGCCAAGGATGGCTTTGGGCTGGAATTTCCAGCTGACAAGGACTTGCCCTCTGGGTTCTCCTTGTCCCCAGCCTTCCTGTGCACAACTCACAGTGATGAGGCGTTTGTACTTAAGACAAGGGGTGTCTCTTCCTGGCATCTCTCAGCATCTAGTGGTTCCTGGATTATAGGGAAACTTAGACAGCTGGGCTTTGGGGCATGGGACATCAGGGAGTGAGGAGGCTAGTGCTGCAATCATTCAGGCCATCAGAAACCATCTGAGCCCTGCTGGCTCCACTGAAGGAAAGTTCTGGAAAGCTAGTGGTCTTCTGAGCTTCTGTGGTCATTTGGCTCTCCAGGCACTTTCTTTTTTTAATTTATTTTTGAAACGTGGTCTTGCTGTGTCCCCTAGGCTGGAGTGCAGTGTCGTGATTCACTCCTGGGCTCAGATAACCCTGGGCTCAAGCGATCCTCCCACCTCAGCCTCTTGGGACTACAGGCATGCACCACCACACCAGCCATTTATTTATTTACTTTTTGTTGAATTTTAAGGGACCTCAAGTGAAATAATAATCGGTGAATATAGGATCAACCCTTATGTCCAGAGCCTTTGTTCCGTCCTTCATTCCTTGTCTAGAGCAGTGGTATGAGCCGAAAACATTGATAAGTGATCACCGTACATTGTTGATGTCAGGGCTACCGGTTATTATAAGGGGTTTTTATGACTCCTGCTGCGGGGAGGGGGGTGCCCTTTCCCACCCAGCTGAGCTCTGTGGGAGCCAAGGCTGAGTTGGGTGTATCTTTATATCCCTAGTTCTTGCTGGAGCTTAAAATGCTGTGAGACACCATACAGACAGATACTGTGAACTTGGAGCTCTCTAATGAAGGGATACCAAAGTCTTTGTATTCAATTTTTTTTTTTCCTTAAATTGTCAGCCGAAAATGAGAGCACACCTATTCAGCAACTCCTGGAACACTTCCTCCGCCAGCTCCAGAGGTAAACCTGGGCGTTTCTGAAGAGCCTGTGTCTGGGGGTGTGTGGTGTCATCTTTTCTGAGGCCTTGTTCCCCACCCCAGCCCTGTCAGCTGTGAAACAGACCCTGCACCTTCTCTTGGTGACTCCCACTCCACTTCGGGGTGGGCAGGAGGAGCTCATGGACTCAGTAGTGGCTCACTCTGAAGTCAGAATAGGGTGAGGGAAGTCAAGGCTAGAGCTGGGACACTGAGCCGCCAGGATGCTTTGGGGGAAATTTTTATTATGTGTGAAATACTTATCACAATAAATTAAAAAACCCTGGTAATTTTTTTATTTTTAAGAAACAAAATTCGGTCACTTGTATCCAATTTTTGGATTGTAGAAGATTTTGTATCATTTAGAAATCTAGATTTTTCCACTTTAAGATATCTTTGCTTTCAGAAAGGATCCCCATGGATTTTTTGCTTTTCCTGTCACGGATGCAATTGCTCCCGGATATTCAATGATAATAAAACATCCCATGGATTTTGGCACCATGAAAGACAAAATTGTAGCTAATGAATACAAATCAGTTACGGAATTTAAGGTAAGTTACTTTCATTGCCCGAAGTAATTGTGGCATAGTTCTGTGTATTTATGTCTCGTGAAGACTTCATTCAACGTAGGTCATTTCTAGTTTTTGAGCTTTCACAGGTGTTTCTGTGTTTGGGTGTTATTTACAGACACAGCATTAAGGAAATGATTGGTCATAAACATTTTCTTTGTGCTTTGGTCTAGAAACTAGGCCAGGTTGCACGCTGTTTCTTTTCTATGTTACTGCACTGGCGTAAATAGGACATGTTTCAAGCAATGAGGTGTCCGGTGTGGCACAGTTTGAGACTAGACATTTTTTAAAACATGCTTATTTTTAATTCTTGATTTTGTCTTATACTAATTGAGCAGGTAGTCTTTTTAGCATAGTAAGTTTTTTTGTCTCCTGAGTACTTTGCTCTTAACTCTGTTTCTTGCTACTGGCTATGACAATCAGCAACTGCGCATTGTTTTTGCAACCCAGGGGAAAAAAGTAAAATAGATGCTTGATAAATTGGCATTAGTGTAGTTTAGAAAGGCATTAGGTTTCTCTCTTAGGTTCCATTCCGCTTGGGAAAGCTTGACTTTTCTATTTTCATTTATTTTACATTTACTGAAGGGTTTGCTGACTCCCAGAAACACAACAGAACAGACTTAAAGGAGAGTGGGAATAAAGGAAACTTGATGAGAGGATCAGGCAGCGCCTTAGGGCAGATGTTCAGAGCACTCCATGCGCTAAAGCCCTCGGTATTCCCTGCTCTGGGCCCCAGTCTGGCCATTCCTAGCAACAAAGTGAGAAGGGGAGCAGCACTCACTCCATGGAGTGTCCGCAGTAGAGTCTTGCGGTGGGCTCCATGGCCTCAGGCCAGGCCCTGGGGCCGCTGGCTCCAGAACCGGGGCTTGGGGAGGGTCCAGATGGCACATTCTCAGTTAGGGTGGCCGGCCTGTAGGGCCATGCTCCAGCCTGACGTTGGTACTCACCTGTGAGAGGCCTGTGCTAAGGAAACTGATTATGATAATAAAATACTGATATTTCCGTATTTTTACCATAAATTACAAAATAAGGCTCTCCTTTTGAGGGGCAAAGTCTTTTTCTGATAGTTTGAGGGAACTATTTGGTGACAGAATTTTAAATTCTATTCTGTGGAGAAATTCTAGAGATAGAGGATATCACTGTGCCCCGTGCTTGCCTTTATCTCTCGACTTTGACTTGAAAGAATCGGATTGTTGCTTCTTGTTCCTATTTCTGTTCTGGAGAAATGCAGGAAGCGCAGTAAATGCTCCTTTTTCCTCGCACGGAGTTTGTATGTGATGCTTAGAAGTTAACAGGCTTGGCCAACTCTTCATTGTAACATTTTTCATGCAAGACTGACGTGCAACTAAGAAAATTTCTCTAAGTTCTTAAACATTATTTTTAGAACAGAGAGCCCAGTTGAATTGTTTCCTACTCAATTGTAGCTTTTTCCTTTTGGTCTCTTGACAGTCATCTAGGGCTTTGCTGTTGTCTGTGGCATTTCAAACTTGGTAAGTCTTTCCTGTGTTCTTTTCAGGCAGATTTCAAACTGATGTGTGATAATGCAATGACATACAATAGGCCAGATACCGTGTACTACAAGTTGGCGAAGAAGATACTTCACGCAGGCTTTAAGATGATGAGCAAAGTAAGAAACTCAGTGGCAGCAGCGAGCTACGGAAAGCAGGGGCTCTGCCCCCCGTCGCTTGTGCCCGAGGGGAGCCTCACAGTGAACACATGCTCCATCCACCCGCCACCCTCATGGTGTTGCCCCCTTTGCTTTAGGGTAGATGTCCCCGGCCGCCCTCTCTGCTCATGACCTAGTTGTGACGTCTCATTTAGGGTTGGTGGAAAGTTCCGCATCTCTTGTTCTTAAGCCTGGGTGTCAGTCTTGCTGGATGGCAGCCAGCATTGCGGGCTTGTTTTGCGTGGCTACCTCACTGAATCCAGATGGGACATCCTTGTCTTCCTTGGCCATCCTGAGTGGCTTCCCAGATCTGTGCCGTGAGCCAGGCTGCATGCGTCCCACGTAGGTGAAGGTAAAGGGGAGGCGCGGTGCCTGCCGCACTCTGGCAGTGGGTCCAGCCCCCGCAACCACCTCCCTCTGCTCCGCGTCGAAAGTTAGCTCTTAGGCTAGGTGAGGCTGTGACCATCCCCATCCCATCCCATCGTCACGGCGCCCTGGCTGTGAGGGAGAGGTAAATCCCTGCTGCTCTGTCCTTTCTGATTCTAGGAGCGGCTGTTAGCTTTGAAGCGCAGCATGTCGTTTATGCAGGACATGGATTTTTCTCAGCAGGCAGCTCTTCTGGGCAATGAGGATACAGCTGTTGAGGAACCTGTCCCTGAAGTTGTACCCGTACAAGTAGAAACTGCCAAGAAATCCAAAAAGCCGAGTAGAGAAGTGATCAGGTAAAGGCTGTGTGGAAACCGCGTTTGCTTTTGGAGTTGAGCACCACAACCAGGAAAGCAGGTGCTTTGTGGGAGAGAGAGTGAGTGGGAGAACGGAGGTCATGTCACTTAGACATCCTTGGAGGGGCTTATTCTAGCAGGAGGAGTGTGGTCAGACGGCCCCTCCCGCCCACCGGCCACATGCACTCTGACCCGGGTGTGGTACCCTAGCCCGTCCTCTCACCGCTGCCCCTGTCTGCTACTGACTGGTGGTCTCTGTCTCCACACGCCGTTTGTTAAGATCACCGGCCCCTCCCTCTCCTGCACACCACCGGCTGGCAGCCAAGGCTGTGCCCTTGTCCCAGACTGTGCCGCACAAGCAGGCCCACTTTGGGCAGCCAGCATTGGCAGGGGGCTTCTTTCTTGCCATGGGGCAGACGCCCACCCCAGAACTGCTCACTTCCGTGTCTGTGTGGATGCTGGAGTGGAGCAGGTGCAGCCCGGTGGTCAGGAAGGTGTGGATGCTGCAGGGGAAGCAGGTGAGGACTGCAGGCCGCAGCTCCCTGTAGCTCTGCTCCCTCCCACAGGGAGCAGCTGACTTGGGTGGTCCATCAGGGAACCTTCTTCCTTTTTCTCTAAACCCCACAGTGGTTTTCATGGGGCCTCTCTGTCTCACAGTGGCTGAGCATTGAGATTTGTCAAAGTCTGTCGCATGTCATTCCTGTAGATGCTCCTCCACCTGCCTGAGGTGGCCGCCTGATAGGACCAAAGAAAGCTAGAGTATCTCCAGGGGCCTTAGAGGCTCCGAGAGCACTTACCATAGCCTGCAGTGGGCAGAGGCGCCTGGCACAGACCCTGCTTCGTCACATGTCACTTGCTGAATGCAGGCCTCAGGGAGTGCGGTCTCGGGACATCCGTCCTTGTGGCCGTGTGTCTGACAGCACTGTGGCTCGCTGACTTCCCATTGTCCTGAGAGGACGGTGGCCTGTTGCCAGCCTGGGACAGATCAGGTTTGAAGGATGGTTTCTACTGAAGCGTACTGCTTTTGTGCCGTCTTGTGGAAAGTCAGGGACCGTCTGGAGTTGGTGCTGAATGTCCTTGAGGCCATTCTGATGGTCATGGCCCTCCATTGTTTGTTTCTTTCTGACAGTGTATGTGGGACTCTCGTGGATTTAACAGGTGGGGCAGCAGCAGTGCTGGGCTCGGTGCTTCCGCTCTGAGCAGCTCCCTCCAACAGTCAAAAGGGAGAGCCGTCTTGAGACCAGCCCCTCAGGTCCTGCAGCCTTGGCTGAGGAGACGGAGGATGCTCTGCGGCCAGAGCGTGTTGCCTGGCAACGGCCAACAGTCTCCTCAGGTGGTCTCCCCACGTGCAGTGTGTTTCCCACGCTGCTGCCATGCGAACACTCTTGCTGCGTGGTTGGCTGGTGGCTGTGTCTGACCTCAGCCCCCAACTCGAGTGCGCTGCTGGCCTTCAGGGTTAGGGATTCATGGCCGCCCTTTGCTGCCTCATGGTGGCTGAGCATTGAGGGGGAATTGAAGCTGGTGTCGGCCAGCATGCTCGGCCGTGGGGGGTCGTGTCCTGGCGGACCCGCCCCAGGTTGAGTTTGGGTACTTCTGGTGCTGTGGCTCCACCCTTGCCTGTGGCATCCAGGCCCGTTAGATGGATCCCCAGCTGTCAGTCTGCAGTCGGCAGAGCGTGCCGAGCTCTGGCCCTTACCTTCACCTGGTGTCACAGAGTGTGCATTGGCGATGGGCTCACGCAGCTGCCTGAGTGGAGCCCTCCCGCGGAGCTCATGGGGCTCTGACTCCTGTGTCGGGTTGCCAGGTTGGCGCTGTAGGTCAGGCAAGGCCAGGGCCGCTGTCATGGGCAGGGCTTGCCCTCGGTCTGCACCTGTCCCTAGGCCATTCAGACCCACACCCAGGCAAGTGCCCAGGGTGGAAAGGAGCCTACTCGCTTGCTTCTAGAACCTTCCACACTCCTTGGGTGCTGCAGCCTGCGCCCCTCAGCTGTTTGAGAACTGCTTCAGGTGGAACCTGGGGCCACTTGCTGACGTCCTTGTGTGTTTTTCTTGCCACCCAGCGGCCACAGCAGAGGGGGCTGCTGTCCATCCAGCCCAGCAGCATCAGACCTCAGGCGAGCGGCCCCGCCCATCCTGCAGGCCTTGCTGTGAGCCCTGCGTAGTCACGTAGTCACGGGCGCTTTTCCAGTCGCTTTTCTGATGAGGGCTTTAAGGACTAACCAGTGCGTGCATCTGTTATTTTGTTGCTTTTGTTGTTAAAGTGACTGCACTTTAACTGAGTTTTCACCACGTTGGAAAACAGGGAGTCTGTCTAGTTGGCTTACACTCACTCTGTATTTTAATACAAGTGTCTTATTTTGTTGCTTGGTTAGGGTGAAAGGGATGCTTTGAGACCTGAAAGGAGATAGGTACGCTCTGCCAGCTCTGTGTCTGAGGGCAGGGTCACAGAGGCTGGGTTAGGTGCCAGTGCGTGGGGCGCAGGTACGCAGTGGGGACGCTGCCTCCAGGTGACTTGGTTGTCCCCACCTCACAGCTGCATGTTTGAGCCTGAAGGGAACGCCTGCAGCTTGACGGACAGTACCGCAGAGGAGCACGTGCTGGCGCTGGTGGAGCACGCGGCTGACGAGGCCCGGGACAGGATCAACCGGTTCCTCCCAGGTGGCAAGGTAGTGCTCTCTGGCCACCGAGAGAGGGTGCTGCGTGGCCCCCGACTCTCCGTGTGCCTCTCCCTCTGGGTTGGTGCTGTGTGATCCAGCACAGCCACCGGGATCCAGAGGTCAGCGTGGGGCCCCGACGGGAGGCCTGGGTCAGACACACACAAGGCTGGTCTCTTCAGTTGGAGTCCGGGTGCCTCTGGCAGGGCTGCTGCTGGTGGTTCACGCATCATGGAGGCCTTGTGGTCACTGACCTCATTTCCTTGATGGAGGCCCTGCTGCAGGCTCATCCTTTCTCTTGGAGTGAATGCTGACTTCTATGTCTCTGTCACTGGGTGTTGACGTGAGGCACCGCCTCATGTTGTTCCAGCGGGGACTGGTGTTGGATCCGACAGATGGTCCATGATAGGCCACCGACCCTGTTCCCGTGGCTCCTGCCACAGGTGGTCTGTGTGGTGGTGGAGCCCACTCAGCTGACTGCACTCTCCTTTCTGGCAGGAGATGTTCTAGACCCAGTGTCTCCAATGGAAACAGAGCACGGGCTGTCTGCAGTCTCAGGCTTCCTACTAGCCCTGATAAGAGAAGTAGAACAATGCAGGTGACATTAATCCCGGCAGGTTTTATTTCACCTCTATATCCAACGTTTTGTTTCAACATGTAGTCCGTAGAAAACGTTAACTTGAACTTTATGGTTTTTTTTCATAGTGAGTCTTCAAAATGCACATGGGGTGGGATGTAAAGAATGCTGAAGTGGGGGCATTTCAGAGGTGTCTGCTTCTGTTTGCCTGCGCCTGGTGGGAAGTTGCAGTGGTCTGCGTGGCTCGTTTGCTGGGAGGTTGTGGTCTGCGTGGCTCGCGTGTTGGGAGGTTGTGGTCTGCGTGGCTCGTGTGTCAGGAGCTTGTGGTATGCGTGGCTCGTGTGTCGGGAGGTTGCAGTCTGCGTGGCTTGTGTGTTGGGAGGTTGTGGTTTATGTGGCATGCGTGTTGAAAAGTTGCTGTGGTCTGCGTGGCTTGTGTTGGGAAGTTATGGTTTGTGTGGCTCATGTTGGGAAATTGTTTGCATGGCTTGCCTGTTGGAGATTGTGGTCTGCGTGGCTTGCACTGTAGTTCTTTTGGACAGCCTTGTTCTGCACTCTGTGCTTCAGCCCTGGAATTGCCACATTCTCCAAGGAGCCCTGGTTTCTTTACTAGAGAGCCTTGTTTAGAAGCCAAGACCTGGGTGCTGGGTGAAGCCCTCTCTGCAGATAGAGCTGGGAAATGCCTGTGCACGTGTCTGCACCACATATGTGAACACTGTGCAGACGGATTCTGTTGGCACCTGTGTTTACATGTGTTGAAAACTTTTTACAGTGAAACTTCCAGTTCCATCCTGCACTGTGGGTCCACCCCATTTCTTCCCTTTCAGTTTTGTATCTGCACCCTGAGGACCTGACTCCCTAATCTGGGTATCAAATCCGTGTCCCATTGTACCTGATCTTCCACCTCTCCCCCAGGGCCCTGGCCACCCTGTGGGCTCTGATACTTTGCCTGGATCGGCGGTGGGAAGCTGCCCCCACACAAACATCTGGCTCCTTTCAGGCCAGGTGGCTGCCCTGCCCACAGCATGGACGTGACCCTTGCACTGGAGCCCAGCCAACCCCTGCGTGACAGCTGTCTTCCCCCTTGACCCCCACATCTGCACACACCAGTGCCTCCTCTGCCTGGATCCTCCTGATGGCCTGTACACAGAACTGGGGTGGGGGTGGCGGGTTTTTAAATGAAAACCAGTACCGCACATGCTTGAGAGCCGGAGCTGCCTGCCGTCAGGGCAGTGCCATGCTGACCTGCCGACCATTCCATTTGTCAAGGCTCCTGAGCAATTTTAAATGCTTAAGTGAAGGTTTTTGTTTCAGCTGTTCCCCCTTTAGCAGGGCCATGGGGAGCCTAAGAGTTCTCCTCGTGCCTGTGTGTACTCTGCTGTTGCCGGTGAGTCAAATTCCAGGGAATACCGTGTGGGGCCCTCTGGTGTTTGTTCTTGGACACACTTGGTTTTACCCCCATTAAGCCCTGCTTGCTGGCCTTCGTTTCATTTGAGCTGCGCTGCCCCTCCTGAGGGACAGACGCTCAGGCAGTGCTTCCTTCCAGATGGGCTATCTGAAGAGGAACGGGGACGGGAGCCTGCTCTACAGCGTGGTCAACACGGCCGAGCCGGACGCTGATGGTGGGTGCCCGCTCGGGGCTGGCTTTCTGCTGTCTGTACACTGTTTTTCGGGCCTCCATTCATGTTCTGTGATGAAAAGCCGAGCCATTGGCCAGGGGGCAGCATGAGAAGCTGCCCGGTTTCCCGTCCCTGCGCACACCCCGACGTGACACGTGCTCCGAGTAGAGGCATGGACGGCTGTCTCGCAGGGCTGGGGTGCTGGTCAGACCTGGGTCAGGGCTCCTTGGGAGCAGGGGGACTCGAGCCTCATTCCTGAAAAGCTGGCGAGAGGCCTTTAAGGCCGAACCTCACTAGCATCAGGAAGGGTTCACACCCCGAGCTTTGTCTTCAGCAAAGACCAGAGTGCCGGCCCACCTTGCTGCTTGAATCTGGAAAGCAGTCTTAGGAAAAAAAGAGCTGTTACATGATTATGTCCAGGACAGTGTTGAAGGATGGCGCACACTAGGCCTGTCCAGCCCATCAGGGGCGCTTTCTTGGCCTGGAAGTAATGAAGAGGCTTGTCCTTTGAATAAAAGTGTGACGCACTTGAGTTTGAAACCACGTACAGGCTCACACGAGGAACACGCAGCCCGGCAAGGGTTGCCTTTAGATTTTCCGCTTCCCTCAGTCTCACTCGCATGCCTGCTGGTGGTCTTTCACCCGCTCCAACATGCCAGTGTGTGAAGAATATAAACTGGCTGATCTATTTAATCTCCAGTTTATTTTCATAAAGAGGATAGACTGTTGATCCATATTTAGCTTAAGAGAGTGTTGAGACCGAGGTACCGGTTGGGAACTGAGGAACTCCTGCTCTGATGCCACGAATGGTGTGTGGATGGTGACTTGAGCGTGGCAGACGTGCTGTCAGATTCATGCGTTCCGGTTGCACACGCCACCATTTCGCTGTTAGAGCACATAGGACAAGATTTCTTCTTGGAGTTGTTGAGTGATCTATTTGAAAATGTTCTCAAGGTATTGCTGGTGTGGTGGCCTAAGATGCGATATTTTTTATTGTGTTGACTTTGGGGTGATAAAGAAATGAAATTGAAATGCAGTTAGTTTTGAGAATGGTAGTTGGCTTTTGCAAATTCATTTTCAGGTGATCATTCTAAAATTCCTCCACTCCCACCAATCAAATCCACTGTGATGTGGAAGAATGGGCTCGTGGCACTGCACGGGGTACCGCGTTGGGGTCACGCCTGCCGCTCACGGCCCGCCATGTCCGTGTTGCAGAGGAGGAGACCCACCCGGTGGACTTGAGCTCGCTCTCCAGTAAGCTGCTCCCAGGCTTCACCACGCTGGGCTTCAAAGATGAGAGAAGAAACAAAGGTAAATCCATAGTCCTGTCCCAGGAGCCGGCTGGAGCAGGGGTTTAGGGGAGTGATGGCAAATACTGCTGATGCCTGCTTCAGGGTTTCCTCACTTGCCTGGATTCCTATTTTCACATGGGTAGGATTGAGATTAGTTACAGTGACAGGAACAAAACTTGTGTTGGATGGTTTGCTGGGGACACACACAGCGGGCACCTTGGTTGCATCACTGGACTTCACCTTGGTCAGTGCTGTGCCGTCCTTGTGCTTCTGTCCCTGTCGCGTTTACTGAACATCCTTTCGGGGATCAGAATGTGTGGCCCCTGGGCCTCGGGTCTGGCCTGTGTGTTCTATTCTCCATCTGCACGGCTGTCTCCTGGCTGTGCTGCTGCTGGGACCTCCCGTACAGCCCCACCTTCCACTTCTCCGTCTCTGCTGGGTCCCTTCTGTGCAGACAGCTGCGTGGACGCTGTTCCTGCCGGCCCTTTCTCCTTCAGCCACTCACACCATCTGCTAATGGGACAGCTCCCTCAAACCATGGCCTTGGCCCAAGAGCTTCCTTCTTTCTGGAATGTTCTTTCCTCCAGCTCCAGGTGCTGGAATTCTGCCTGGTCTGGGTCTCCTGTTAAAGAACCCGGTCCCTCCACAGGGAAGGATCCTCTCGCCTTGACCACTTGCGTTCATCAGCCCCTGCTCCCCGCTTCCTTTTGGGGCTCTTATGGTTGTTGATACTTTTTTCGTTGTGTTTGACACACTCCTTGTTCTCATCCTCTAACACAGTTGTCAACCGCAGCACTTCTGTCCCTGGGGGCGTTTGGCAGCGTCCGGAGACGTGTTAATGGTCCCGGTGGGGTGGGGCGCGCTGCTGGCATCTGGTGGGGAGACGCCAGGGGTGCTGCTTCACGCCCTATGGGACTCTGCACAGCACAGCTGGTGCGTGTGCCCCGCAGAGAGAGCTGGCCCTGGGCAGGCGTGCTCCCTGCGGTGTGTGTTGGTTGGGATCCTCCACACTGACGGACGGTGCCCTCTGCCCACGTCTCCACGCAGCTCTTTTACTTGTGGAGCTCACCTCTTTGCAGAGAGCTCATTTCCCTGCAGTCTTTGGCCTGCAGAAGTAAAACGAGGGTGAATTACACCCCTGCTGGTTACTAACACATGGAAAACTTACACTCAGGAGCGAGAATTTTGTGGAGAGCAAGTGAGGCGAGACTGGGGTGCTGACTGCCAGCCAGGCGGTCCCTCAGCCCCTGCAGAAGCAGGATGGGGCCTGCACACCGAGTCCTTCCAGTGAGCCCAGTGATGCTGTCTTTCTCCTCTTCCTCCCAGTCACCTTTCTCTCCAGTGCCACTACTGCGCTTTCGATGCAGAATAATTCAGTATTTGGTGACTTGAAGTCGGACGAGATGGAGCTGCTGTATTCAGCCTACGGAGATGAGACAGGCGTGCAGTGTGCGCTGAGGCAAGTGTCGGCCCCCGGGAGCCCTTGGCTGCCGTGCGGCTTGAGCTGCATCCTGGTGTGGGATCCAGAGCCCCACATGTGTGCGGGTGGAGGAAGAGCCATCCCGCGGCCGTCCAGATGGCAGCTCAGGTCTTCCTGTTGCTTTCCGTCACCCACCCAGGTCTGCCACAGGCCAGTCCTGAAATTTGGGTAACTCAGAATTGCAAGAAGGCGGTGATCAGGACGTAGCTTGTGAAGGGGTTGGGGGTGTGTTCAGCGCACTGGATGGTTTTGAATTGTGTTTCTTAAGTGACTGTGCCAGCTCAGGCTGTAGTGACAAAGTGCCAAAGACTGGGGTCACAGTCCTGGGGGCTGCTGTCTACCATGAAGGTGTGGGCAGGGCTGGTTCCTCCCGAGCCCTCTCTCCTGGGCCTATAGGGGCTGTCTTCTCCCTGTGCCTTCCCAGAGCCGTCCTGTGTCCTCAGCTCTCCTGGAGACCCAACCGTTGTGCAAGGACCCTGGTCATATTGGATCAGGGCCACCCTAATGGCCTCATGTCACTGCAGTTACCTCTGAAGGCCATAAAGGCCTCAAGTATAGTCACATTTGGAGGCACTGGGGTCAGGATTTCAACTTGCAAACTTTGAGTGGGAGACATAGTTCAGGCCGTGGCAGACTAAAGTATAATAACAAAAATCACAAATGTAGTAGCTGCTTTTCCATAGAATGTTGTCATGTGTATTTTTTGTTTTCTGTGGCAAAATAAATGTGGGTCACTCTTGTAAAATTTTGGCAGTTTGTTATAGGGAAAGCAACTTAATTTTGCTAGCCTCTAAGAAATGGAATCTTGACATCAGGTCTTCATTTTATTCCAACAAGAATGCAGAATACATTTGAAAAATAAATAATCTAGTTAGCACTTCATAAAATAAGTGAAAACATGACCCCAATATTTGTGTCCAAAAAGGAAGTAAATGTGGAAAATGAAGAGGAAATTCTAGTAGGAGACGATGGCGTCATAACTCAGAAATTAAAGAGTTGGTCGCTGCCTGCCCTTCCGCCAGCCCTCACCTCACCCCTGCTGTGGGGCCTCTGCCCAGCCTGGGCCAAGGCCGCAGCTCCCCTGGTGCCATCCTGTCCGCAGTTGGCTCCCCTGTCCACAGATCCTGGCTCTTTCAGGACATCAGTCATCTGTTGTCCATGTGGTGTGTCATCAGTGGACTGTGTGCACCCCCCGCCTTCCCCGGCTGTGCGCTCCCCCCGCCTTCCCCGGCTGTGCGCACCCCCCGCCTTCCCCGGCTGTGCACTCCCCCCGCCTTCCCCGGCTGTGCGCACCCCCCACCTTCCCCGGCTGTGTGCACCCCCCGCCTTCCCCGGCTGTGTGCTCCTAGAACGCGTCAGGTTCCATGTTCTGTGAAGAAAGATCATTCTGACCCCCCTGCCTTGCGGCTGCAGGGAAGACACTCAGAAGCACATCTTCTAGGGCCTGGTGTGGGCTGTGTGGTCCCTCGCCAGCCTCGGTGCACAGACACCCAGATCCTCTGCCCCCGAGCGCTTTTCCCGAGCACACTGCGAGTGCTGAGCTTGGCCTGGCCTGGGCTGTGGGTGTTTTAACAAAGACGTGGAGTCTGCTTGTTGCCTCCTGTGACCGTGGTTCAGCTTCTGACTGGCAGCCGTCCCTGTTCCTCTCTGCAAAGGTCTTTGGAGTCTGGGGAGCCCTTCTGAGGCCCTTGCTTGTTGCTTTGGTTCTAAGACTACGCATTTTTGTTCCTGGCCTACTTTTTAAATTGTGTTATATTTTACTTTTTAAGCTGTTTCATTTATATGGCCAAGAGTCAGGATGATGCTAAAAGGAGAGCTTTTAGCATCATCATGCTAAAAGATGATGCTGGAAGTCTCGGCCCACCCCTGCCCCACGTGCCCCTTCCTCCCCGGCAGACGCTGCCCGCCACCGTGCTTCCGTCCACACCCACTTGTGTATTTAAATGCATAACTAGTGGAAAGATAGGAGTGTGCTTTTACAAATGATAGCACAGCACGCATGTTTCTAGGCTGTGTGTGTGTGTATTCATGCTGTTCTCCCCCTCCCCCTCAGAGATCTTTTTAACCTTTTTGGGTCATGGACCACTTTGAAAATCTAATGAGAACTATCAGCCACTCCCCCAAAAATACCCACTCTGGGAGGGTCACAAGGGACTGAGGAGCTACGCTGGCACGGCAGGCTTCTGTGATCAGGGCCGCCGCGAGGGCCAGGCAGCAAGGGCTTGGCGTGGAGCACACAGCCTGCCTTTCAGCATGCTTCTCCTGCGGCCCCTCTAGCCTGCAGGAGTTTGTGAAGGATGCTGGGAGCTACAGCAAGAAAGTGGTGGATGACCTCCTGGACCAGATCACAGGTGGAGACCACTCCAGGACGCTCTTCCAGCTGAAGCAGGTGGGCTGCACTCGCACTGGGGAGGGGCAGGTGCCCTTGGGGTGCTGCTGGTGGGAAGAGCTTGCGGTCTGACCAGGCTCTCAGGGATGAGGAGCTGTCGCAGGGACTCTGCTGCCGGCTCCTCGTCAGGATCTGCGCGCTGCTCTGCACGGGCGGGCGTGCCCCAGAGACCGTGACTGTGTGCTCACCACTCGCAGCGCACTTCGTAACTCTCTATTCCCATCTTCATCTCTCATCTCTGTCGCTTTCCTTCATCTTGAAGAATTTAAAAGAATACTTCATGTAGTTCAGGCTTACTGACAGTGAACCCTCAGCATTGGCTTGTCTGAGAGTCTTTATTTCACCTTCATTTTCCCTGGGTGTGGAATTTTAGATGATCTTTTTTCCCGTCTACTGTAAAATACATTTGACTTGCATCTTTGCTATTAAAAAGCATCTGAAGTCATTCTCATCTTTGTTTTCCACATGTGATGTGTCTTTTTGGCAAACTGCAGCTCATAGGCCAGATCTGACCTGCAGTCTGCTTTTGTACAGGCCACAAACCAGGAAAGTCTTTTGCATCTTTAAAAGGCTGTTTAAAGAAAAAAGGAAGAAGATGCTGCAGGCAGCGTGCGCCTCGCAGAGCCTCGGCTACTCCCTCCTGGGCCCTAGGCAGGACAGGGTGCTGGCCGGTGCTCTAGGAGCTTTTAAACCTTTATCTTTCTTTATCAGTGATTTTCAGCATTGTATTTTCCAGGTTCTTTGTGTTCTACATAGTATTTGTTGTTTCTTGGATCTGTCTGTAGTTTTCATCATATTTGGAGGATTTTTAGCCATTACTCAAATGTCATTTTCCACCACTGCCTCTTCCTCCTCCTGCTGGACTGTGGCACGCTGAGGACAGCTCGTGTTATCTCACATGGCACAGACACTGCTGCTGCACCAGGCAGGTGCAGATTAGTTGCTGATGCTGTGGGCTAAGTTCACTAACGTGTTCTCTGGCCACACCTGAACCTGTTATCCCAGTTCAGTTTTCAGTGGTGATGCTGCCCCTCGCTGCTTACCGCTGGGGCTCTGTTTGCTGCTTTTGTGTATCTTCTCTTCTCTCGTGTTATGTGTATGTTTTCCGTTACATCCTTGAGCAATGTTCATCATATTAATTGCAGATGCTTTTGAAGTCCTCAGTCACTGACTCTGTCACCTCTGCCGTTTCTGGTTCTGTTTCTCTTTGCCACTTTGCTGCACTTGGAGCTGTGGGCCTTCGTGCACGCGCCTGGTGGACAGTCCAGACCCTCGCTGTCTGATAAAAAAGCACTGTTCCCATGGCCGATGGGAAATTGGAATGTGGCCAGTCTGAATTTAGATGTGATGTGTGAGCTACAAACTAGATCTTAAAAAACTAATACAGAAAGAAACGTAAAAATATGAGTAACGATTTCTTACGGCCTACATGTTGGAATAAACACATTTTCAATAAATTTGTCTAAGTAAAATGCATTAGTTAGTTGAATGTTAAGAGTAATTTTAATGTGGCAGCTAGAATTTTAAGAGCTGGGTACAGTGGCGTGCACCTGTGATCAGCTCCTCAGGGGGCTGAGGTGGGAGGATCACTTGAGGCCGGGAGGTGGAGGCACCTCTGCACTCCAAGCAATAGAGCAAGACCCTGTCTCAAAAAAGGTAAAGAAAGCATTGAGAATGAGGTGTGTGCTCGCGTTATGTCTGCTGGGCAAGGCTGATCTGGGTTCTTGCCCTCTTCCAGAGAATATTGAGGATCATTTTGGCAGTTGTTACTTGTGGATGTCCTGATCATGCCGGGCTTGTCTGGGGTGGGTCCAGGGCAGCCTTATTCTAGGGTTCGTGTGGCCTTAATCCTCAGGAGTGGCCCTTTGGCGAGCTCTTGGGCCCTGACTTTTCAGCGCAGTCTCTGCTGTGGGTGGAGTTCAGATGAGTCTCTGTCCCGCGCAGGCTCTGAGAACGTTTGGCTCGTGGCTCCCGAGGAGTGGTCAGTCCCTTGACCGCACGGTTTCATCTGTGCTTGTTACAGGCGAACTGGGGTCCACGTGCCTGGTGCAGGAATCCCAGGCACCCACGCCGAGGTTTTGTTGTGGTAGAAAGGAGACGTGTATTTGCAGGGCGCCAAGCAAGGAGGGCCAGGAAGCTCGTGGGTAAATCCACTGCTGCAGGACTCGAGCTGGTCTCAGACACCTGGCCATGTTCCAGGTGGAACCCACCAGGCCCTTTTTACCCTAAGCTGCCCACAGGATCTAGGCACATCTTTTTTCTTTTGTTTGAAGCCACCTGAGGCTGCTGAAACAGCGTCGGCGTCCTCTCTCTCTCTCCTCTCCATCTCACCCCGTGAAGTGCTCTCCCGGGCACACGGTCCTGGCGCTGAGGAGTGGGCTGGCCGTGGTTGGGTCAGTGGCTGGTGATGAAGAAGCCTTGCAGGACCCCCAGCCTGAATCCATGACGATGGCGTGACTGGGGAGCAGAATTGGCAGAAGTGCACCAGCCGTTTTTACGTGTGTGTAATGTCAGTGAATTGTCCGTTTCTATACAGTCGCTCTGGAAAAACTAGTTTCTCTCCTCATTTACTTTGCAGAGAAGAAACGTTCCCATGAAACCTCCAGATGAAGCCAAGGTGAGTTTTTGAACATGGAAGGGCGAGCCTAATGCTAGGATTCCTGTAGGGAAAGTTGTGTCCAGCCTTTGAGGTGGGAAGGACTGTGTGTACAATGGCCTTTAGAAACGGAGTCCATTTCTGATCAGTGAGATCAGGTGTTTCTCCTGCTCTTTTCATGACTTGAGGTGAGTGGTGTGAAGCGCAGTACGTTCTCCCAAATTCAGAAATGGTGGTTTCAGAGCGGTTGGCCCCGCTGGGTGCTGTCCTCATGGGACACCCTTGCAAGGGGTGGGCAGGATGGGCCTGCTCGGGACCTGCTTGGTGAGTAGCAGATGTCCCAAGCACAGTGGGCTCTGGGGCCAGTGTTAGCAGGGCAGTGCTGTGAGCCCAGACTGCTGCGCCTGCCGATTGGCAGGCGTATGTCTCTGGGAGTCAGCAGGCATGGGCTTTGGTCTGAGGTCCCTGGAAACCTGGAGAGACCCCTTACCATCTGTCCGAGGGCAGAGGCCGGGCTGCCGGGAGCTGATGAGAGAGTGTGTGTTAGTGTGGCTGTAGTCTAGCCCTGAGGACACGCCTTGCTGGGAAAGGAAAGGGAACGTGGTGTGCTCTGTGAAGCGCCTGAAAAATAGTGCCTTAAATTCCGTGTGTCTTCCTGTTGCATAATGTCCCTCCCCAATTTCTTGAGCCCCAAAAAGTTAGTAAAGGATTATTAGTTCGCATTGTTGGTCTGAGTAGGTTTTCCTTTGATGTGGATTTGCGTCATGAGCTCAATCCTGACAGTCCCTTGAACAGCAGCTGCAGTGAACACGGTTGTTCTTGTCACTTACTGAGGGGTGGATTCACGTTTAGCAAATAGAGTGATTTCAGTAGCGAGTATTAACTAACATTTCGTTTTTCGTTTGATGTTCCATTTGCACCTGATGCGTGTCTGTCCCCCCAGGTTGGGGACGCCCTAGGAGACAGCAGTGGCTCTGTTCTGGATTTCATGTCGGTGAAGTCGTATCCCGACGTCTCTGTGGATATCTCCATGCTCAGCTCTCTGGGTGAGTTGTAGCAGGGGCTTTCCCCCGCGACCTGGTGAAAGTGCGAGAGAGAAAGAAAGCACTTGGCCTCCACCTCTTCTCCCTTCCTGACTAGACAGGATGCAAGGAAAATGTTTTGTTACAGTATTTGGTGGTTGTCCCAGGTTTTTGGCCCATAGCTCCTAAAACCTTTGGAATCTCCTGAGCGTTAAGTGTCTTTTTTAAGCTAATGAGTAGTGTTGCAGCCCCTGGGTAACCTCAGGATGGGGTCTGGCCGATCCCCAGTGGCTGTGGATTTCATCAGTGTTGCCTACCACCTCCATGAAATCCCAAAAGCTGGGGTTCCCTTGGGAGCCTCCTCAGTGCTGGATGCCTGGAGGCCCTGGGAAGAAGGCAGCCCCTTCCCACGGGTCCCCCTTTGCATTGCTCCTCAGTGCTGGACGCCTGGAGGCCCTGGGAAGAAGGCAGCCCCTTCTCACGGGTCCCCCTTTGCATTGCTCCCACCTGGGGCTGGTCCGTATCCTGGGTGCCACCCCGCATAATAAGCCGAGTGTTTCAACAGAAGAGTCAAATTCTGCAGAGTATTTAGAGAGATTATTTCTGAGTGAAATATGAAGACCGTGGCTGTGACATGGTCCCAGGAAGTCTCAAGAACATTTGCCCAGGAGGGCTGGGCTGCAGCTTGTTTTGATGTGTTTTAGGGAGACAGAGGACATCGGTCAGTACATGTCAGGTGTTACATTGGTTCGTTTTGGAAAGGTGGGACAACTTGAAGTGAGGAACTTTGGGTCATCGGTGGATTCAGAGATTTCCTCATTGGCGTTTGGCTGAAAGGGTTAAGCTCTGAAGAGCTGAAGTCAGAAAGAAATGTGCGTGCTTAAGATAAGGGTTTGTAGAAGCCAAGGTTCTTGTCACACAGATGAAGCCTTCAGGTAGCAGGCTTCAAAAAGAATAGAGTAGATGGCAAATGTCGCTTATCAGGCCCTGAAAGGTACCAGATTCTTAGTTAAATCTCTCCTGGGTCAGGAAGAGACTTGGAAGGGGAAGGAGATTCTCTACAGAATGTAGATTTTCCCCATAAGAGACAGCTTTGCAGGGCCATTTCAAACTATGTCAAAGACATATATTTTGAGTTACAATACTCAGTTTCTTTCAGGGCCTGCCATCTATCACGTGATGCTGTACTGGAGTTGGATCGGAATGTGGTGTCTTATTACCACAGAGTCTGCTTTGTCAGCCTTAAGATTTCTGTTTTCATGTTAATGCTGGTCAGCTGTGCCTGAATTCCAAAAGGGGGATAATGAGGCAGGTCCAATCCTGCTTCACATCATGGCCTGAACTCATGTTCCGGGTTGACTTTGGAGTGCCCGTAGCCTAGAGTGGGAGTCCGTTCAGTCCGTGGGGCTTAGCATTTTATTTTTCGTTTACAGATGTTTCCCTGACTTCTGTGAGTCACTCTAGCAAATTCATAGAACTCAAGTAAGGACTTGTGGCAACGCCATTTGGTAGCTGGTTAGTCGGAAGCACAGACCACAGCCTGGGGCTTTCGGTTGGCATCAGCCAGTGGGGTAGTCCTGGAGACTGAGCCCTCACCTGGAAGGCTGCCTGTGCAGCGCCTCCCAGCTGTTCTGACCTCCAGCGGCATTTGTGGAGCCTGGATCCATGGGTCCCACTGGTTCCCATGGTGACATTCCACCTGTCTCCACTGGCTCTGTTCAGGCACTTATGGCCATGATTTATTATAGGGGATGGGCGCCAACAGCAGCAGAGGGACAAGAGCGTGGGTAATGTCCGAGGGAATCCAGCATGAGGCCCAGATCCGCTCCCAGCAGAGGCACATGGGACGTGCTTAATTCCCAGGAGTGAGCTGTGAGAACATGTGTGAAATGCCCACCAGGGAAGCTCATCAGAGGCTTGGTGCCCAGGGTCACTGGGGTCTGGTCACAGGGCACCCCCTTGCCAGGCAGGTACCAAAATCCAGACCCCAGAGGGAAGGTGAGCTTTAGCATAAACCGCTCTGTGCCTGTCGTTGGAGCTGTGAACAATCCCTAGCACGGGGCGGGGGACCCCAGACGCCAGCCGTGACTGGCCTCGCCTTCCAGGGGACCCTGGCCCCAGGCTGCTGTGATAGCACTTTTCTGCACAGCGGCTGTTTTTCTCAGCACTTTTAAGATTTTGACCTTATTACTACTTTTCAGCAGCTCGGTGCTGAAGTGCTGTGGTGTGTTAGTCTGTCCTCACACTGTTGTAAAGAACCACCTGAGACTGGTCATTGGTGAAGAAAAGAGGTTTAAGTTCCTCAGGCTGGCTGGGAGGCATCAGGAAACTTACAGTCATGGTGGAAGATGAAGGAGAAGCATGCGTGTCTTCACATGGCAGAGCAGGAGAGAGCGCAAAAGGGGAAGTGCTTTTAAACAACCAGATCTCATGAGAAGTCACTCACTATCGTGAGAACGGAGAACAGCAAGGGGGAAATCCATCGCCATGATCCTTCCACCAGGACCCTCCCCTAACATTGGGAATTACAATTCAACGTGAGATGTGGGCGGGAGTACAGAGCCAAACTAGATCATTCTGCCCCTGACTCTTCTCAAATCTCTTGTCTTTCTGACATTGCAAAACACAATCGTGCCTTCCCAACGGTGCCCCAAAGTCTTAACTCATTCCAGCATTAACTCAGAAGTCCAGAGTCCAAAGTCTTATCTGACACAAGGCAAGTTCCTTCTGCCTGTGAGCCTGTAAAATCAAAACCAAGTTAGTTAATTCCAAGATACAAATCGGGTACAGGCATTGGGTAAATAGACCCATTCCAAGAGGGAGAAATCAGCTAAAACAAAGGGGCTGCAGGCTGCAAATCTGAAACCCAGCAGGGCAGTCATTACATCTTGAGGCCCCCAAATAATCTTCTTTGATTCCTTGTCTCACATTCAGGCCACACTGATGCGAGGGATGGGCTCCCACGGCCTTGGGCAGCCCCGTCCTTGTGGCTCTGCAGGGTACAGCCCCTGTGGCTGCTTTCCCGGGCTGGTGTTGAGTGCTTGCAGCTTTTCCAGATGACATGGTGCAAGCTGTCAGATGTACCATTCTGGGGTCTGGGGGACAGTCGCCCTTTTCTCACAGCTGCACTGGGCAGTCCCCCAGTGGGGACTCTGTGTCTGCCGTGAGCTTGTCCACTCAGCTTCCAGAGCAATTATTGTCCTGAGCAGAGAGGTCAGATCTGGATGGGCAGTGCACTCCTGCCCTTAGGGTGGATGGGCCGGCTGAGCTTAGCTGACGTCGGGTCTTGTCCTGTTTATACAGGGAAGGTGAAGAAGGAGCTGGACCCCGATGACAGCCATTTGAACTTGGATGAGACAGCCAAGCTCCTGCAGGACCTGCACGAAGCACAGGCAGAGCGCGGCGGCTCTCGGCCGTCGTCCAACCTCAGCTCCCTGTCCAACGCCTCCGAGAGGGACCAGCACCACCTGGGTGAGACGCCCCCACCCACGCCACATCCCCAGAGACCCCAGCACGGTCAATGTGACGTCTAGACAAGGTAGTGGGCAGCATTTTCGTTGTGGAAAGGCTGGAGGCTGCAGAGGCAGCTGTGCTGTTGTGGAGGTCGGTTTCCGCAGACTCCTCAGGTCCCAGCCTCAGGGTGCAGAGCCGGAGCAGGAGCTGGGATGCTGGCCTGGCTGCACGCTGGATTACAGGCTTTCTGCCAGATTCCGTCCCCAGTTGTGTCCACCCCTGTGCCCTCTGTGGACCCTGGTTCCAGTGTTTCTGCTGGAGAGAGAGCATGGCTTCCTTGGCCGTGTGTCCTGTAGGGGTTTTGGTGGTGGTGGGTGGGGGGTTTGTTCTCACGTGTAAACACTGAATCACTCCATCGACAGAGTTAATCTTGACAGTTTTTCAGCTGCAGAGGTTTAGCTACAACCATCTGGAAAAGGACCAGTATTTCGATCCCATTAACCTTACGATCAGGGTGTTAACTAAACAGTGCATGGAGCAAGCTCTGGAGGGCTGTGGGTCAAAGTCTGAGGCCCCTGATATCCCAGTGTGACTTTGAGGAACTGCCCTGGGGTCTGGGCTGGGTCTGAGGGACTGCTGGCCGAGGAGCTTTCTCTCCCTCAGGAGCGGCATCCGTGCTGTGTGCCGGGTCAGGGCCGACCCCTCGCTCCAGGGTCTCCACACACAGCCCTCCCTGGCAGGGAGTGAGAGGTGCCCTTGTGTCCTGGGAGTCCCTGAGCCCTGGCGGTGGGTCATGAAGCAGACATTGGGCTCCAGGAGCCCCACGTGTGCTGTGGGTCTGTCCTGTATGTTAAGTCCTGTGTTCTGAAAATTGCAGGAAGCCCTTCTCGCCTGAGTGTCGGGGAGCAGCCAGATGTCACCCACGACCCCTATGAGTTTCTTCAGTCTCCAGAGCCTGCGGCCTCCACCAAGACCTAACTCTAGACCACCTGCAGCTCTTTTGTTTCATTTTTTTAGTTTTATTTTGCATGTGTAGAGTTTTTGTCATCGGACAAGGACTTTGATCTTCCCCCTTTGGCATGCGGGAAGCAACCCTGGGGAGGTAACGAATTGTCTGTGGTATCATGTCAGCGAGAGAGTCTCTGCACAGCCCCGTGAACCCAGGGGAGTGGAGTCATGCGTGAAGGGCGTATGGCCGGGCCGCAGAACTGTGTGCAATCTGTGTCCAAATATCACGTGTGGCTCCAGCCCTTGTTTCTGCCAGTGTAGACACCTCTGCCCCCCTGTCCTGGGGTCGCTCTTGGGAGGCACGGGCATGGGTGCGTCTGGCCGCCTTCTGTATCAGTCCTGCGTGTTCCTCTCATCGTTTGTGTTTCCCAGGCAGGCCGTGGTAGGGGCCTCGCAGGGGCCAGTGGGGAGCGCAGGGCCAGGCTGGGGTGAGGAGAGCCCCCCCGTTTTCTGGGCCAGTGGGGAGCGCAGGGCCAGGCTGGGGTGAGGAGAGCCCCCCTGTTTTCTGTTCATTTGATGAGCCTGAGAAAGGAGTGCTTCTGCCTGCCCGTTACAGTGGAGCGTTCCGTGTCCATAAAACGTTTTCTAACTGGATGTGTCTACTGGGTGCCCGTTCATATTAGTCTTTGCAAAATGCCATAAACACAGCTCCCAATCACAGGACACAGAGCGCCAAAGCGCACCCGACTGCTCCCCACACGCAAGGGTGCTGTGGCCTGCCAGCTGGTAGTGGTCCTCTGGCCCGGCTGTCGTGCCCAGTGATGTCGGGTGCGCCTGTGCGCCCAGCGCACCTCCTGCAGGGTGCCCTGCTCTGTGACCATGGAAGCTTGAAAGTGAAGAAGCCACACCTTCCAGAGGCCAGGCACAGATGGGAGCTCAGTCGTCCTGCAGGCAGAGGCGTTTGTGACTCTGAAGAGGCCCCGGGGGCAGTATGCAGTGCCTGGGCCCTCACACCACGGGACCCCAGGGCTGACCCTCGCAGGCCGTTGACACCGGGTGAGCAGGGTGGCCGGTGCTGTGTGTGGCGTGGGTGAGCATTCTCAGGTCCCTTCTGGGCCCTGGTGGAAGTAGGAGCAAAACCATTTCCTCTGGACAGAGCATGAGGAAGCCACAGCCTCTAATTCACAGGAAGAGTCCGTGAACAGGGCTCAGACGAGCGTCAGAGCCTGGGCTGCACCCTCCGTGCTGGCTGGGAAGCAGACTCCACAGGTGTCCGCAGAGCTGCACCTGCCGTCCTGGCACTGGATGCCGCCACGTGCACCCGTTCCAGTGGCTGCCTGCAGGCTCTGCTCCCCACCCCCGACTCTGGGAGGCCACCCTGGCTGCAGGGAGGCTGGGAAAGGCAGCATCTGGAGTCCCAAGCTCAGTGGGGCTGTGTACTGCACCCCGCTTCCACTGGGGCTCCAGAGGCCAGGATTCCCTTGACAGACACTTCCCACAGCCAGGTCCTCAGGGTACGGCCTTGGAGAGCTTGGGCTCTCGGGAACAGCGTGGCTCCTGAGAGCAGGTTGCTGTGGAGTCGGGCTTCCTCCCACCATCGAGCTCTGAACACCTCCCTCCGTATCCACTGTGAGTGGAGGAGCCCTCGCCACATGCTGGGGCCCGTCTTAAACTTTCCAGCCCCAGGACCATGAGCCAAATAAGCCTCGTGTCTTTCAGGTGAGCCAGTCTCAGGCGTTGTGTTAGAGCAGCGCAAAGTAGCCTTTATGGAGATGACACAGCTGTGCCCTCATGGTGGGGAGGCGTGGGCGGCTCTCTCTCCGGGCTCTTAACCCTCTCTGAAGCAGTTCCTGGGTGGAGGTCAGGTGCAGCCCACAGGCAGTGCTGAGCTGCAGGAGGCGGCCACCCTGCCCCGCTTCCTGGTGGCCCTTGTTCCTGCACCCCTCACTCCCTGAGCCCTCAAAACTGGCTGTCCCTGTGGGCGGCGTTGTTGGTCCATGGGGTCCCAGCAGAGGGGGGCACTGGGCAGCAGCCGCCACATGGCTTCAGTCTTAGTGTGCAGTGAGGGGACGTCTTGAAGAGGCCTACGGGTGGCCTACAGGCTGAGAGGCTCCCTTCAGGTCAGGAGATGGCAGTGGGGTGGAGGGGCCAGGGCTCTTCCCACTGCCCCTTGGGCTGCAGAGATACGGGGCCACCCAGGCCAGCTGAACCTGCAGGACTTAGAGGGCCCTGGTGGTGGCCGGAACCGTCCAGGGAAGTCGTGCGTGGCCTCCCGGGATTCCGGCAGCCTCTGCTCTTGCTGGCAGCCTGTGGGACTCTACCCTCTTTTGTGGGTACATCACCTTTGGGTGTCCCCAAGCCTGCATGCCAGGGCACAGAGCAGCCATGGTGAAGGGAGTAGGGGCTGGGGCCTTCCCTGAGCTCAGCATCTCTCTGGTCCCTGGGCCCTTCCCTTGTGGTCACACAGTGACTGCTGCTGTGCCAGCCATCTCACGTTGAGGCCGGAGGAGGGCCAGAGGGGAACAGGCTGCCACGTCTGTGTCCGATAGGACACAAGAGCTCTCCAGGGAGGCCCCACAGACATGGCTGTGTGTCAGCCTGGGGAGCAGCTCGGGGTGCAGCTCCAGCTCTCCCAGTGCAGGCGGGGACAGCCACTGCCCCCCGCCCCCCACACCCTGCTCCCCAGCTGATGTGGGCAGAACCTGGGCAGGGGAGGGGGAGGCGGCTGGGAACAGAGGCCGGCAGTGACAGGGGCCACTTGCAGACTGTGGGGTGTGAGGGCCAGCAGCTGTTCATCCCCAGCCAGGGCCCTGCACGCCCGTGCTTGTCTGAGCCAGGAAGCAGGAGGGTGGTGGGACCTGCAGTGTGTGAGGTGGCATCCTCTGGGCTTGGCTTGCCACACTTCCAACCTCTGTCCAGCCCCTCCCACCCTTTGGCTGCTCTAGGGCCTGCAGAATCCATGATCTGCTCACCCCGTGGTGCCCTCAGGGCTTTGTTGCGGATGGGGATACTGAGGCAGATGCCCCATCATCCAGAACTACCCTAGGTCCTCTGACTGGCTGAGCCTTCCCCACCAGCTGTTAATCTTGGGCGCTTGTCAACTTTTAGTTGCCTGACCCCTCCCCAAGCTCAGTCTCCTGTTCTGAATCAGGAGGCAGAGGGGGGCAAAGGGGTCTCCTCCGAGGTCTCAGTCTGTGGGCAGGGAGTGCACTTGTGCATGGGCTGCAGGTATGGGGGGTGTGGGTGCGTACGGGGTGCAGGTGTGTATGGGGTGCAGCTATGGGGTGTGTGCAGGTCCATATGGGGTGCGGGTGTGGGGGGTGTGGGTGTGTATGGGGTGCGGGTGTGGGGGGTGTGGGTGTGTATGAGGTACAGGTATGGGGTGTGTGGGTGCATATATGGTACAGGTGTGGGATGTGTGGGTGTGTATGGGGTGCGGGTGTGGGGTGTGTGGGTGTGTATGAGGTATGGGTATGGGGTGTATGGGTGCATATGGGGTGCAGGTGTGGGGTGTGTGGGTGTATATGAGGTACAGGTATGGGGTGTGTGAGTGCATATGGGGTACAGGTGTGGGGTGTGTGGGTGTGTATGAGGTACGGGTATGGGGGGTGTGGGTGTGTATGGGGTGCGGGTGTGGGGGGTGTGGGTGTGTATGAGGTACAGATATGGGGTGTGTGGGTGCGTATGGGGTGCGGGTGTGTGGGTGTGCAAGTGCGTGGTGTATGTGCTATGGGGGGTTGGGGGGTGTGGGTGTGCTGTGGGTTTCGTCTCCACTAAAATTTAGACGTGGTAACCCAATGGCCAGTGTGATGGTGTTAGGAGTGGTTAGGCCATGGAGGGGATGAAGGGCCTTGCAGACCAGGCCTCAGTCAGCAGAGACCTCTCGCCCTCCCAGCGCCTCCTCGTGAGGACGCCGGGTCTGTCCCCTCCGCAGGATGCAGCAGAAAGGTACCACCTTGGAAGTTGAGCGCCCCCCTCACCAGTCACCAGACCTGCTGGCTCCTGAATCTTGGACTTCCAGCGTCCAGAACAGGGAGAAATAAGTTTCTGTTCTTTAAAATTACTGCGTCTCAGGTATTTTGTTACAGCAGCACATGGGGACTAAGTGGGTGTGCAGGTGGTGGGGGAGGGTGTGCAGGTGTGTTTGAGGGTGTTTGCCTCAATCGTTAGACGGCATTGGGGTCACAGTACCTGCAGGTGTCAGGGGACATTAACTGTAGACCTTGGTGAATAAAAGCCAGTTGTCCTGAGTTGGGCAAGAAAGCCCCTGGAAGAGGCCCTCGCCACCAGTCCAGGCTACGAGATGGGGCGTTTGTCCTGGGGGACCTGCTCTCACCCTTAGTGGTCCAGCAACACCGTCTCGGCCTCTCCGGCCATAGCAGGCTGCCCTGCAGAGGCCCCGAGGGCTGGAGAACTGTCAGGTAGGCTTTCCTGCCCCTTCCCCGTGTCGTCCTGGGCACCTGCCCCAGCCCAGCTGTTCCTCGTACTTGCGTACCTCGTGTGTGCCCCTGACAGACAGGATGTCCATGGGCAGCAGACCTCTGGCCACTGCAGGTTCCGGGCACCAGAGTGAGACCCAGCAGGATTCAGCCGGCAAGAGGGCCCCTGACTGTGGGCGACTTCCTCACGGTGGGGGTCCTGGAGGGGCTCCTGCTAACAGAAAGGGGTGCATCCCTGTCCACCTTCCCATCCTCATCCCCAAAGGCAGCGTCAGCAGCTGACCCACATCGGAGGCATTCAGATAGGAGTCAGTGGAGACCCCCAGCTGACAGGAACTGGAAATGCCTTGAGTGCTGAGGGAGGAGGGCTGCAGGGACGGGAGGGAGGATGCCCTTCAACACACTTGCTGGCCCTTCTCAGGAGAAACCCTTCCTTGGCGTGGGTCATGGTGAAACTGTGCCCTGAGTTAAGCCAGTGACCGAATTCCTGAGCTCACAGGACGGCCAATGAAACAACTTGCTAAAATGCTGAAATTCCCTCCACTTGTGAGACTGAGAAGAAACGCACCGAATTCAGTCAGAACCATGGTGGCTGACGTCTTTGCTCAGAACCAGCTGCGGAGGTCCCTCCCTGGGCTCCTCCTAGGCTGAGTACTCTGGGGTCGCAGTCTTCCTGGCTCCTCCTAGGCTGAGTACTCTGGGGTCGCAGTCTTCCTGGCTCCTCCTAGGCGGAGTACTCTGGGGTCGCAGTGTTCCTGGCTCCTCCTAGGCTGAGTACTCTGGGGTCGCAGTCTTCCTGGACGTTGCCTGTTGGTTGTTGGGTTTTAGGTGGTTTTTTTTAGGGTTGTCTTGCTGCATTTTGTTGCGGACCACAGTGCATTGCAATCCTAGTCAGCTCAGGGGCTTTCAGGTATTTGACTTTGGAGCTGAGTAACTGGGCAGACTGATAACAGACAAAGCGAGCTCTTTTGCAGGTTGATAAACTTTGATCTTAGACTAAACTTCTTTGGTTCAGGCGAGGGCAGCTAAGCAGGTAGGAAGGTGGGGAAGAAGAGGCCGACAAGCAGGCATCGGCAATCCAAGCAGGGGCCTAGTACATCCTGATTTTCTGTAGTTTGCTGACCTAAACCGGTTCAAGGCACCTTGTCTTGGAAATAGACCACTGCATGCATTATTTCACCAACGCCCAAGTCCATTTCACACTTTCCCCTCTCCTCATGCCCCTTTGTCCCCTCAACCTCCCAACTGCCATGGCTTTATGAGGCGCCCTGGGTTCCGTGGCTACCGTGTCGACCAGGGCGGCCCACCCACCTCTCACTTTGGTCTGGAGTGAGCGAGAGCGACGCTGCTTTTCTCTTGCTCTTCAGCCTGGACCTGTGATGTGATTGGCGTGAGAGGGAACTGTGGATTCTGGCGGTAAGGAAAGTGGGGGCTTACTTTCCCGTGTTCCCAAAAGGCAGATGCAATCCCTGCACCCTGAAGGAGTCAAGCAGTAAAGGCGACACAGCAAGACCGTCGGGGACTCGGGCAATGAGGATTTGTCTCCTAAGGGGCCTCAGAAAAGGCCGTTTCCGCTGTGTGGAGTACAGGAATGGAAGGTTTCACCAGGGTGGAGTGGCTTCCAGAGGGTCCCCGTGGAAAAAGCGTGGCTGAGCAGGCCCAGAGGGGGACGAGGACACATTTGGGGGGCTGGAGGAGAGCGAGGACATGTCAGGGGGGCCAGACTGTCAAAGGGCAGGGACAGGGTGAGGGCCGACTCAGGGACCACAGTGTCATAAAGGCAGGGACAGGGATGAAGAGGACAGACTTGGGGGACCATGGTGTCATAAAGCTGGGACAGGGGCCAGGACAGACTCGGGGGACCTCGGTGTCATAAAGACAGGGACGGGACCGGGACAGACTCTCGGGGCCTGGTGTCATCAAGACAGGACGGGGACCAGGACAGACTCGGGGGACCACGGAGTCATAAACGTAGGGACGGGGCCGGGACAGACTCTCGGGGCCTGGTGACATATACAAAGATGGGAACAGGAAAGGCTCAGGAGGCCATGGCATCTTAAAGACCTGATAGGGTGGGATGGGCACCTGTGGTCTCTGGGGTGCGTGTCAGGGGCTGGTCCTCGTGCAGAGAAGGATGGAGGCCCAGTCTGAGAAGGGGGCCGTGTCCACATGCACAGATGGGGGCAGACAGGAGGCGCCTGGGGTCCACCACACAGGATTGCGCTGCCGGTCCCGGTGCACGACAGCCAGTTCCCCGGGCTTCAGTCCAGTTGCCAGTTGTCATAACACGGGGGGCCCATCCATCCTCAGTTGTGCTCACTTCCTGAACCCAACATCACAAGTCTTCAGTGTCACGACTCACAGATGCTCCTTTCGCTTGAATTGTGTGTGGGAGTGTGTGTGCATTGTGTGGTGTGTGTGTGCATTGTGTGGTGTGTGGGAGTGTGTGAGCATTGTGTGGTGTGTGTGGGAGTGTGTGTGCATTGTGTGGTGTGTGGGAGTGTGTGAGCATTGTGTGGTGTGTGGGGGAGTGTGTGCATTGTGTGGTGTGTGGGGGAGTGTGAGCATTGTGTGGTGTGTGTGGGAGTGTGTGTGCGTTGTGTGGGAGTGTGTGAGCATTGTGTGGTGTGTGTGGGAGTGTGTGAGCATTGTGTGGTGTGTGTGGGAGTGTGTGTGCATTGTGTGGGAGTGTGTGTGCATTGTGTGGTGTGTGGGGGAGTGTGAGCATTGTGTGGTGTGTGTGGGAGTGTGTGTGCATTGTGTGGTGTGTGGGGGAGTGTGAGCATTGTGTGGTGTGTGTGGGAGTGTGTGTGCATTGTGTGGTGTGTGTGTGCATTGTGTGGTGTGTGTGGGAGTGTGAGCATTGTGTGGTGTGTATGGAGTATTTTGTGGGGGGTGTAGTATGTGTGCAGTAAGTGGTGTGTGTGGTGTGTATGTGGTGTATTCTGTGTTTGCTCTGTGTTGTGTGTATTGTGTGGTCCCTGTGTAGTGTGTGGTTCGTGTGTGGTGTGTGCATGTGTGGTGTGTGGAGTGTGATGTGTTTGTGGTTGGTGTTTGATACATGTCATGTGGTGCATGTGCAGTGTGTGATTTGTGTGGTGTGTGTGTTTTCCTTGTGTTACATATGCATGTGCAGTGTGGCGTGAGGTGTGTGCGTGTGGTTTGGGTGGTGTGTGGTGCGTGTGTGGGGTGTGGTGCGTGGAGTTTTGTGTGGTGTGTGTGCTCTGTTTTGTGTGGTGTGTGTTGTGGATTGTGTAGTCTCTGGTGTGTTTTGTGGTGTGTGTGGTGTGTAATCTGTATGATGTGTGGTGTGTGCGTGGTCTGTTGTGTGGTTTGTGTTGTATGTCGTGTGTGTGATCTGTTGTATGATATATGTGGTGTGTATTGCATGGTATGTGGTATGTAGTGTGTAGTGTGTTGTGTGGTGTGTGTGTCGTGTGTGTTGTGTGTGGTCTCTGTTGTGTGTTGTGTATGTATGGTGTGTGTTGTGTTTTGTGTGGTTTGTGTGGTGTGTATTGTGTGGTCTATGTGGTATGTGGCATGTGGTCTGTGTGGTATGTGTTGTGTGGTGTGTGGCCTGTGGTGGGTTGTGTGGTGTGTGGTGTGGTTTGTGTGGTGTGTGGTGTGGGTTGTGTGGCCTGTGGTGTGGGTTGTGTGGTGTGTGGCCTGTGGTATGTGGTGTGGGTTGTGGTGTGGGGTGTGGGGTGTGTGGGGTGTGGTGTGGGTTGTGTGGTGTGGTGTGGGGTGTGTGGTGTGGGGTGTGTGGTGTGGGGTGTGGGGTGTGTGGTGTGGGTTGTGTGGTGTGGTGTGGGGTGTGTGGGGTGTGTGGTGTGGTATGTGGTGTGTGGTATGGGTTGTGTGGTGTGTTGTGTATGGTGTGATGTGTGGGTTGTGTGGTGTGTGACCTGTGGTGTGTGGTGTGGGTTGTGTGGTGTGGTGTGGGGTGTGGGGTGTGTGGGGTGTGGTGTGGGTTGTGTGGTGTGGGTGTGTGGTGTGGTGTGGGGTGTGTGGTGTGGTCTGTGGTGTGTGGTGTGGGTTGTGTGGTGTGTTGTGTATGGTGTGATGTGTGGGTTGTGTGGTGTGTGACCTGTGGTGTGTGGTGTGGGGTGTGTGGTGTGTGGGTTGTGTGGTGTGTGACCTGTGGTGTGGGGTGTGTGGTGTGTGGGTTGTGTGGTGTGTGACCTGTGGTGTGGGGTGTGTGGTGTGTGGTGTGTGGTGTGTGGGTTGTGAATGTGCTCACAGGCCACGGTGGTATCGAGGCTGAGCGTGGGCCTGAGGGAAAGGAGCCGTCCTGGAGTCTTCCCTGGCTGTTGTGAGGTCCGTGTCCCCGGCTCACTGTCCTCCATGGGGTCTGTCCCCCCAGCTCGCTGTCCTCCGTGGGGTCTGTCTCTCCCGACTCGCTGTCCCCCGTGGGGTCCGTGCCCCCGACTCGCTGTCCCCCGTGGGGTATCTCTCCCCGGCTTGCTGCCCTCCATGGGGTATCTCTCCCCAACTTGCTGTCCTCCGGGGTCTGTGTCCCTGGCTAGCTGTGCTCTGTGGGGTCTGTGCCCCTGACTCGCTGTCCTCCGTGGGGTCTGTGCCCCCAACTTGCTGTCCCCCGTGGGGTATCTCTCCCCGGCTCATTGTCCCCCGTGGGGTATCTCTCCCCAACTTGCTGTCCTCTGTGGGGTCTGTGCCCCCGGCTCGCTGTCCTCCGTGGGGTATCTCTTCCCGGCTAGCTGTCCTCCATGGGATCTGTGTCCTCCTCTCGCTGTCCTCCGTGGGATCTGTGTCCTCTCGCTGTCCTCCGTGGGGTGTCTCTCCCCTACTCGCTGTCCTCCGTGGGGTCTGTCCCACTCACTCGCTGTCCTCCGTGGGGTATCTCCCCCTGCTCGCTGTCCTCCGTGGGGTCTGTCCCCCGGCTCGCTGTCCTCTGTGGGGTATCTCTCCCCGGCTTGCTGTCCCCTGTGGGATCTGTGTCCTCCTCTCGGTGTCCTCTGTGAGGTCTGTCCCCCGGCTCGCTGTCCCCCGTGGGGTCTGTCCCACTCACTCGCTGTCCTCCGTGAAGTATCTCTCCCCGGCTTGCTGTCCTCCGTGGGGTCTGTCCCCCGGCTCGCTGTCCTCCATGGGGTATCTCTCCCCGGCTCGCTGTCCTCCGTGGGGTCTGTCCCACTCGCTCGCTGTCCTCCATGGGGTATCTCTCCCCGGCTCGCTGTCCTCTGTGGGGCAGGTGCGGCCCCTGCTGCTGGGCTGCTCCGCTGTCCTGGGCCGCACCGAGATCCTGTGAGGAGATGGCTGTGTGCTGGCCAGCATGGAGTTCCCACGCCCCCGCGCGTGGCTCGTGGAACAGCGCGACCCCAACGCTCCGCGCCTGCGGCCAGTGGTGCAGGTTCATGGTTCTGTCGTCTGTCACTTAGATTTGGTTTTGTTTTGGATTTAATTTAGATATAATTTTAGATTAATTTGCTCACCATGTTTTATCTGTGATAATTTATTTGATGGAGTAAATCTCTAAATAATTCTTTTTGGAAATGATTAATGGTTGGTGTACTTTGAATATTCACACATTCCGAAAGAATCTGTTTTGTCTCAAACTTTGATTATTCTTTGGCCAGATGCATTTTAGATTAAAATACTCTCAGAACTTGAAGAATTGCTCTATGTCGTATTTTTAAAAAACGAATGCAGTACAATTTGCAGGTATCCATATATTGTAATGAATCTCCCTTCTTCTGAGAACACTGCGGAATTTTTATCTACATCCTTGCCGCTCACATTTTCACCGGTGTGGATGTATTTCTTTTTCCAATCGTCCTTTCTGGCCCTTGTGCACAGTGTGGACCTGAAGCCTTCAATCTTCTCAAAGTTCTTCAGTGTTTTCTTCTCTCACAGACACTCTACCTTCCTCTTCTGAAAGCCTGACAGATGCACAGGGTCAGGCTCCAGGCTCCAGGCTGGCCGCTGAGCGATTCCTCTCTCCTCCTCTCTCAGATCTGTGGTCCTTCCTGGATGTGATCGTCCAGGTTTTACCAATGTGATTTTTGGCAGCAACATTTCTGTTTGTTGGCACTTTCATTTGGGTTTTGTTTTTAATTGGGAGTTGTGTTTTTAATGTACAAGATTGTCTTTCTGTGTTTCTGTTTCCGTCCTTGGCACCTTGGACTTTTCTTTCTTCTTTTTTTTGAGATGGAGTCTCCCTCTGTTGCCCAGGCTGGAATGCAGTGGCACAATCTTGACTCACTGCAGCCTCGACCTCCCAGGTTCAAACGATTCTCATGCCTCAGCCTCCCGAGTAGCTGGGATTAGAGGCATGTGCCACCATGCCCTGCTAATCTTCGTATTTTTAGTAGAGACGGGGTTTCGCCATTTTGCCCAGGCTGGTCTCGAACTCCTGACCTCAGGTGATCCGCACGCCTCGGCCTCCCACAGTGCTGGGATTACAGGGTGGGCCCGCGCCCGGCCCAGGCACCATGGTCTTGTTTCACAGCTGTGAGTCTCTCAGGTCTCCCTGAGACATTCTTGTGTGGCTCAAGCCCCAGGGCCCTATGGCCCCGCATCCGCCTGGCGTCACATTTGGAGGACCAGGGAGGAGCCCCAAAGGCAGCGCAGAGCCACGAAAATCGTGGACGTTCACGACTGCAAGGAAGAAGAATTGTGAACTAGTTCTCAGTGTCTCTCTTCCCAAAGTAGTACATGCAATACCAACTTCAGTTTCTGAAGGTTTTTTCCCAAAGAGACGACAAGGGCTTTGCACGAGGCATAACGCGGGGAGGCTTCCTAACACTCCTCTGTTGAGACCGCCCAGCCCCTCCAGATCCCCCACCCAGCAGTGGCTGTTCAGTGCCTTTCACTGCCCCTCCCTCCCTCCCCTGACGCCACGTCCCTCCCTCCCCTGACACCACGTCCCTCCCTCCCCTGCCTCCCTCCCCACCTGACTGGCCAGGAGCCGCCGCAGTGTGCGTTCAGAACCTCGCAGCCACTGCCCACCTGGACAGGCCCCAGCCCCGTGTGGCTGGACGGGCTACCCTGTCCTGTGGAAGGGGAGACACACAGGACCCTGTGAAGTGAGCTCTCAGGTCCTGCTCCTCTGGGAAGCTCAGGGAGGCTTCTCAGGGAGGATCTGGGAGATTTCAGTGTTGCAGCAGTTAGTAACAGCTCAGGAGCTCTTCCGGCGTTGCCTCAGTTTCTCTCAGGCGCACCCCTCTGCTCCGTGTGGTCTCTTTCTGATGTGGGTTTTCCTCTGGCACCTGGGGAGTCTTGGGTGAGCCTGTGTATTCGTGAACGGGTTCTGGGACCTATCGCTGTGTGGGGGCTGTCGAGGGCTCCCCAGAACTTAAATCCTCGGGGGAACTGAGGGGCGGTAGCACCAGCACCGGGTGCCTGGCCAGGTCCTCCGCCCAGGGGCCCCCACACCCTGGAGAGCCGTTTTCTGTAGCCGCTCGGCTGTGGCCGGGGTCAGATTCTGCAGCATGTCTATTCATTCCCCTGAGCAGGCCCTGTACCGGCTCCATCCCAGCCCCGCTCCCAGGGACGCGGCCCCAGGCAGTGCTGGGCCATTGGCTCTCAGTGCTGGTCCTCGGGGATGATGTTCCCAGTCCCTGAGGTCTCCCTGACAGTGGGCGGGGCCAGCCCTCCCTGGGGCTGACAGGGCTGGTCTCCCCTTCTGGATCCTGCAGATGGACACCCGCTCCGGGAGCCAGTGTTCCGTCGCCCCAGAAGCCGTGCTCAACAACGGAGATCTGGTCTTGCCGCCCCGCATCTCCAGAGTGAACGGCTGGTCGTTACCCCTGCACTACTTCCAGGTGGTGACCTGGGCTGTCTTCCTGGGCCTTTCCTCGGCCACCTTCGGGATCTTCATTCCCCTCCTGCCTCATGTGTGGAAATATATTGCCTACGTGGTATCCTTTTCACCGTGGCACGGTCTGAGCGGGAGGGGCGCCTGGAGGACCCTGCAGTGGACCTGGCTCTGGGATCTGGTCCATGGCTGCCCGGCGGCACCAGTCACCTGCCCTGGGCCAGACTGTGTCCCCCAAGCCTGCAGGTGGGCCCAGTGGCCACTGGTGCTCTGTGCAGCCCCTGCTCAGGGTCAGGGTGGGCAGGACAGCATTGCCTTAGGGGGCTCTAGAGAGGGACTCTGTCAGGAGGGACAACAGCCCCCTGGCCTGGCACAGGACCCACCCTGCTGGCAGCCTTCTGCTAAAATCCCTGCGCAGCCTTTTGCACATGGCCAGCACCTCCCTCCTCGCCCCTGTGCCAAGGAGGACAGCGCTGTGCCCCACAGGTCGGCAGCCTGGGTTTCCATGCCAAGCTTAGGCCACACGGTGAGGGCCTCTGGGCCGCCCCGCGGAGACGGCTGTCAACCCTGAACTCCTGGCTAGAAGGCGGTCCAGGGGCCAGGCAGGGTGACGGGAGGGCCCCGCGCTCCACCCCTTCTGTTTGGTTGCCATGGGGAGTCTGTGTTGGTCCCAGGGTGAAAGGAGGAGGGAGCCAGGATCTGAGGGCGGGAGCTGATGTCCCGGTCATGGGGAGCCCAGCTTCTCCTGGCTCCAGGGGACAAGGACCCTCTCCCCAGTGGCCCCACAGCCAGGCTCGGAGACAGAGGCCCAGGTGAGTCTGGGGTCCTTGAGTGAGTCTGGGGTCCATGAGCGAGTCTATTGGGGGCTTCCCTGAGCGAGTTTCGGGGAGAGGGTCCCTGAGCGACCATCTGGGGTCTAGAGGGAGCAGGTAGATTGTGCAGCTCCCTGCCTCCTCCCCCCTCCTGCTGTCTGAGGCTGTGCTTCTCTCCCAGTGCTCGCGGGTCTCTGGTATGAAAGAACCAGGTTCCCCACGGCCTTTGGGGCTGCATCTGGCTGTGTTTACATCTGGGCGTCCCTCCTGCGGCCCTGCTCTGTCCCTCAAGGTGTAAAGGGCTTTGGGGTGACTGTGCTTGGCTGGGCTGGTTGAGCCTCTGGGGGTGCGGTGCATTCTGTGGGGGATTTGCCCTGTGTCCAACAGGGATGAACAAAAAGGGCATGGGGGCAGCCATCCCGGTCCCCGCCTGGCACAGGTCTGTGTGTGCAGGGTTGATGGGTGGCCTTGTCTCCTCTGGGCCTGGGTAAGCAGGGCTGTGTGTGCACCGCCGGGTAAACAGGCCAAGTGGTCAGGGCCGGGTGAGCAGGGCCAGGTGAGCAGGGCCAGGTGAGCAGGGCCAGGTGTGCAGGGTGGTGTGTGCAGGGCTTAGTGTGCAGGGCTGACTGAGCAGGGCTCGGGTGAGCAGGGCTGGGTGTGCAGGGCTCAACTCTGCAGGCCTAGGTGTACAGGGCCATGTGTGCAGGGCTGGGTGAGCAGAGCCAAGCCTGGTTGAACTGGGATCCAGTGTGCAGGGCTGGGTGTGTAGGGCTGGGTGAGTAGGGCTGACTGGCGGCCTCATCTCCCCTGGGCCCTTGGGCCTCATGGGGACGCCTCGTGCCAGGCTGACCAGGCCCTGGGCCAGGTTCTTCCTTGACGTTCCAGGTGACCGGGGGGATCTTCTTCTTCCACCTTATCGTCCACCTGATTGCCTCCTGTATCGACCCGGCCGACTTCAATGTCAGACTCATGAAGAACTACTCTCAGCCCATGCCGATCTTCGACAGATCGAAACACGCACACGTGATCCAGAACCAGTTCTGCCACCTGTGCAAGGTCACCGTGTGAGTGCCCACCCTCGCCGAGGCCCCGCGCTGTCAGGGTCACCTCCAGGGGCCCAGGGGCTTAGGTCACTGCTGGCCCCACAGGGCCCCTGCCATGGCCACAGCTGACGCTAATGGAGCTTCCAGGGACCGGCCCTGTGGCTGCGGGTGGATAGCCCCTCATCGCGCTGTGAAGGGAACGCAGTGCCAGGCCGCCCCAACTCCTCTGCAGGCAGGGCTGAGGCTGGAGGGCTGTGTCTGTCACCTGCAGGTGACCCGCTGCTCCCCTGGAACGGAACGCGGTGGCACTCAGGCATGTTTGATCCTCAGTGGATTTCGTGCACGAGGTCCCTCCCCTGTGATCCCAGGGCAAGAGAGCGCTGTCTTTCTTGGGGGTTTTCAAGGCAAGCCCCAGGGAAAGAGGGAGGGAAGGGTTCCAGTGTCTCCAGGGGCCCTGGGGGCATCCGTGATGGCCTAGGGGGTGGCTACAGGGCTGCTTTCGGCTGCAAGGGAGGTCCTATAGGCACAGGTGGGATCCAAGCCCCCAGCCTCAAGTCCTGGAACCATAGGCCAGGTGCGGCCTCCTCCAGGGCCATTGCCCAGAGTGAGGCTGGTGCAGGAAGGCTGGGGGGTGGTCTACGCTCCGGCATCCGCACCCACCACAGACACGGGCTCCTCCTGCTCTGTGGCTACCTCTGCCCAGAGCTGCCCTGCTTCTCCTCCTCCCCACAGGCCTCAACTCCCTCCCCCAGCCTCCCATTCCCCACTGAACGCCCACTCCCCAGGCCACACAGGGCTGGTTCCCCCGAGGCACCTGGCTCCCGGTGATGGGGCTCCGGCCCTGGCCCAGCCTGCGCACCTGGGGCCTGACAGCCGTTCCCCGATTCATCCATCCAGGAACAAGAAAACCAAACACTGCATTTCCTGCAATAAGTGTGTATCCGGCTTCGACCACCACTGCAAGTGGATCAACAACTGCGTGGGAAGCCGTAATTACTGGTGAGGGGCACGGCGGGGATGGCCGGCGCGGGCCAGGCTTGGGGGAATTCGGAAGGGAGGGGTCCTCGTGGTGAAAGGGTGGAGGGTCGTCCTGGGGCTGCGTCCCTGTCCTGATGCGGTGACGCTTGGTGCGTGCGTGCGCCGGCCTCCTGTCTGGCTCTGGGGCTGTGGTGCGGCCGTCCCTGGACAAGGTCATCCGCACAGAGCAAGTCCCTGGAGGCCCAGCGTGGGCATTTGCTGGGCTGCCCTGGCTGAGGCCTCCTGACCGCGCTGTCCTGGGCCGGGCTGCCTTCTCTCCACCCGGGCTGAGGCTCATCCAGCACAGGCGTGGGGCCACCGAAGGGCAGTGGGCATCCAGCGGGGACTGACGAGAGGTGTGTCCCCTGAGTGCGGTGGAGGATCTGGGGACTCTCAAGGCCCGGTGTTCTGAGCCCCGGCTGTCAGCAGCCCTGAGTTGTGAAGATCACCAGGGAAAATAATCACATATGCCCCCAGCTACTCTTTGCTGACCTGAAAGAGGCCGTGGTGTGGGTGGGAGTGGGGACCAACGTCATCTGGTGTCACAGGACGTGCCGTGGGGTCCCTGCCCTGCCTCCCTGCCATCCCGCCTTGAGCACAGTGTGTGTCCAGAGTGGCTGAGCAGCCCGGCAGGGACAGAGAGGCTGCGTCACTGCAGAGCGAGTCCCGAGGCTGCACGAGATGGTAGGGGCGGGGGAGACCCACCCGCCGCCTCCCCAGGAGAGGAGCAGCTCCAGGACGGCCGAGGTGTGGCCGGCTCCTCTGGGTCACGCTAGCCCCGGGTGCCGCTTCCTTCTGGACTCATTATGCTCTGGTGCCTCGAGCTGGCTCAATCCGGCGGGGCCTGGCGGGGAAGGTGAGGGGGGTGAGGGCCCACAGGCAGGTGGCAAGGAGAGGGTTTGCCTTCCTCAGGAGGGGCGCTGGAGAGGCACCGTGTGGGCACCAAGTGTAGACGCAGCCTGCGAGTGAGAAAGGGGCGTCAGAAGAGCAGGGCTGGGGTCATGGGCGCCCTGAGCTCCAAGCAGTAGCCAACGCCGGCATCTGTGCCAACCTCACTTCTGTCCCTTCATCCGCCAGAGGCGGAGAGAACAACGGCATTGAGAGCAAGATGAGGAAAGTTGAGGAGCTGATGGCAGAGCCCCGCGAGGGAGGCTGCCTACTTCGTCGTGATAAGAGGAAGGGGATGGAAAGAAGCAGGCGGCCCTGGTGTCCCAGGAAGACCGTGAGCGCTGGCCTCAGACTGTGCGGGCTAAACATGGGCAGCAGGGGCAGGAGGCTGTGCTAACCAGGAGGAGAGCGGCCCTGGGCGGCTGCGGGCAGAGGAGGCCCCACGTGAATGGCTCTGCCCCATCCCATGGGCTTTGGTCTCTGTGGTCTTAGAGACCCGCCTTCCTTCCTGGATGAAGAGGGGAGTCCTGTCCAGACAGTGGGATGAAGATGAGGGGTCTTTACTCCCTACAAGTGGGCTCAAGCCCAGGAGGACTGGGGGCACAGTAGGGCACGTCCGCCGCCTGGAGGGGCTGCTGCTTTGGAAACCCAGGCTGGGCATGGAAGGCCTCGCCACGTCCTCCGCACTACGTGGCCACATCCAGGCCAGGCTCCCAGGCTCGGCGCTGGCAGGAGAGCGCACTGGTGGCGTCAGGAACCAGGACACCAGGAAGGAGGGCTGGGACCACCCGCCTGGTCGTCGCTGTGAGAGGGAAGCCAGCACACGGGAGCAGCAGTCAGGGAGCCCCTCACGCCGGAGCCACCCCTCACCCCTGGATTATCCAGAAGACTCTTGGAGGGAGAGGAGCGCCCGGAAGGCAGCTGTCCCCGCACCACCTCCTCGGAAGACTGCGGCATTCATGCTCTGGCCTCCAGTTGAAAATACAAAAAGGGATTTCAGTGAACTTAGGTGAACAGAATACACTGGAAAAGGTTAAAGGAGGTTAAAGGATCCTTATTAAAATAATAATGGCAGAAAGACCAAGGAAGACGGTTTAGTCAAAGTATGTTCCAGGGACCGCTGTCCAGAATTGTTTTTTCTGGATGGATTATTCTCTCCATCTTTTGAGCAAAAACGAGAGGCTGGGAGTGGTTTTGGTCTCACGTCTACAGTATGCACGTCACTTTTGGCTCAATTGTGCACGAGAGCCTCGGAGAAGGGGGGACTGCAGCCGAGGAGCAGCCGGGCTCCTCCAGGGCCTCCTCAGCCCGAGTTCCCTTTGGGTGCAGTGATCCAGGTCCCTGAGCCTGCAGGCCCTCCTGGGTACCACGGTGCAATCATGGCTCTCTCTTTCCCTGGCTTCAGTGCCTTTGCCTAGCATGGTGCCATGGAGACCCCAACACAGACCATGCTCAGGGCGCCCTGAGTGGATCCCGCGTGCTCCTTGGCTGGGAGGGAGCCCTATCTGAATGAGGTGGAGTCGGAGGTGCAGGCAGAGGCCCCGGAGCCGTGACGCTGGAGACGCGGTGTGACCCTCACGCTCCACTGGCTGGGTGGGCTTGGGCGAGTCGCATCGGGTCTCTGACCTCAGTTTCCCCACTCGTGAGAAGGGCTAGTTCCCCTCCTCACAATCTCCTTGTTCCTTGTGGGGAGTAAATGAAACCAAGTTTGCAAGAAGTGCTGCCTGAATTGTCGGGCAGTGTGAGATGGTGGGAATGTCCCATGGCCACCCCTCTCCAGTGAGAGGCCTGGAGACCCGGGGGGCGTCACAGGATGGGACAGAGACAGGAGCCTGAGCTTCCAGGCACGGTCGGGAGCGGGGTTTGAGGCCAGTGTCGGGCGGTGGCCAGTGGCCCTCTCTTAGTGGATGCCCACGCTGAGCTGTCACCTCCACCCTGTGGGCTCCAGAAGCCCTGCGCGTCCCTGCCTCTGCCCCCGCACCCTCCCACCTGCCCCCGATGCCCTGCGCATCCCTGCCCCCACGCCCCCCACACCCACCCCTGCCCCCGTGCCCCCCCACCTGCCCTGCATGCTCCCGCCCCTGCCCCTGATGCCCTGCATGTCCCTGCCTCTGCCCCCGTGCTTCCCCACCTGCCCCTGTACCCCCACACCCACCCCTGCCTGCCCTGCACACCCCCCACCCTTGCGCCCCCCACACCTGCCCCCAAGCCCCCTGCCCCTGTGGCCCCCACACCTGCCCCCATGCCCCTGTGCCCTCACACCTGCCCCGGCCTGCCCCTGCACACCCCCTGCCCCCATTCCCCCCACACCTGCCCCCATGCCCCACTGCTCTCATGTCCCCACCCCTCATGCCTGCGTTTGTGTCTCCTGGCAGGTTTTTCTTCAGCACCGTGGCCTCAGCCACAGCCGGCATGCTTTGCCTGATCACCATCCTGCTGTACATCCTCATCCAGTACTTTGTGGACCCCGGGGTGCTCCGCACGGATCCCAACTATGAAGGTACGTGGTCGCCACTCTTGGGGGGCCTCAGCCTCACCTCCAGCCATCTTTCCGGGCAGTAGTATCGGATCTGGAGGTGGTCGGCCCCTCTTGCCCCAGGGAGAGGCCAGGGTGGGCAGCACCAGGCAGGCTCTGACCTGGGCCGAAGGCAGTAGCCCAGGGTCCACACAGCCCAGCAGCCCCCAGCGTGCAGGAGGCAGGCTTGGGGAAGGCACTGGCCGCACTGCTCTGTGAATGCTGCAGGTTGCGACAGGTGAGAGACAGTGGGGTCCGGCTCTGCCCCTGCCCTCCACAGTCAGCCCTGCAGCACCTGTCACGCCGTCCTGTGGGGCCACGTGGCTGTGGGACAGTGGGGGTGTCTGTCCAGCAGGAGCAGCCCACGGGGAGAGAGAGCAGAGGCAGCGCTGAGGGTTCTGGGCTGTAGTCTGCAGAGCGCTGAGGCTCTTGGCCAAGTGGGCCCGGAGCCTGGGATGCCCGCACTGAGCCACAGGAGACACGTGGCGGTGAGGACTGGGCTCCAGCGGCAAGTCCACGCCAAACCCGGACCCCGTGATGCCAGTGTCCTCAGGAAATGGGTGTGCTGCTGTGACTTAAGATCTGAGGTGGAAGTCTCATGCTGGGTGGTCCCAGGAGGCCCAAATCCAGCCATGAGGGTGCTTATAAGAGAAAGGAGAGAGTAGAGGGGAGGCAGCCCCGTGAGGATGGAGGCAGGGTTGGAGTCACACGGCCACAGCCCAGGGTCGCCCAGAGCCCCAGGAGCTGGCAGAGGTGGGAGGACCTCCCTGGACCCTGTGGAGGCAGTGTGTCCACCTGTCCTGAAGCTGGACGTCAGAGCCCTGCCTCCGACTGCAAGAGTCTGCTGTGGAATGCAGAGGCGGCGTGCCTGCCTGTCCTCCAGCTGGATGTCAGAGCCCTGCCTCGGACCGCAAGAGTCTGCCGTGGGAGCTGCCCGCACCCGCCGCCACTTGTATTTATTGCAGCAGCGCCGGGACCCTCACCAGGAGGACCTGGGCCAGAGCAGCCCCTTGGGGTGTGGGTCAAGACTGCCAGTCTCGGCCCCAGGCATGGCTGCGCCTGCACTGCACACGGCCCAGGTGGCAAGAGAGGCAGAACTTGCCTGCCCCTTGTTCCAGAACATTCCAGAGCCAACACGGTGTGACTTTTTTTTCAAGGATGAGCTTTGCCAGCTCCGTGTGGAAGGCCCTAAAGCTCCTCCTTCCACTTGGAAGCGTGACCGGTGCCACCCGGGCCTCACAGCCGCTTTGGAAGCACTTCCTGAAAGCCAGCTCCACCCTGGCAAGGCCCTGACCTCAGCGGGCCCAAGCCCAGGATGATGCCTGTTGTGTTCTTCTTCCCCCCGGAGCAAGTCACCTTCCCCAGCAGCCTCCACGTTGTCTGGGCCGTCACCATGGGGGATGCCAGGAGAGAGTGAGAGGCAAGAGGTGGCCGAGACGGCGTGTGCTGGCTTCTCTCCCGGAACATGCTGCTTCCACACGGCAGTGCCAGTGGCTCGGTGTGAGTTCAGTGACTGTGGACTGATGATTTCCTGGGTTTGCTGTTCCAGATGATTCTGCAGGACTTTAAAACCAGCAGGGCCCTGAGCAAAGCAGCTCCTTGTTACCATGGGCTGGACTCGTCGTGATGTCACGGCTAAGGGGGCCGTGTGGGGTCCAGCCTGGCCCAGACACATTGAGCTGCGGTCCCATCTGGCCGACTGTGGTGTTTTCCTTCCTAGATGGCCCCCGAGGCCACCAGTTCCAGAGAGGGTCCGTCACCCAAAGACATGACATCCACGCTGAATCCAACCTTCTGCCATTCTGCCTTACCCGACCCTCTCCCATTCTACCTTGTCTGATCCTCTGCCATTCTGCATTACGCCTGATTTTTGGAAGTGGTGTGGTTTTGAGTGTTGGCAGCCCAGTGTCTCAGAGGACCGTATCTTAGAAATGACCCCAGGCGAGAGCTGTGGCTTTCCTGTTCTATTCGAAGGCGGCTGTTTTAGGGTGCAGAGGGCCCAGGGACATAGCGTGGGCCATGAGGAAGGGATGGGTGCTGGGGCCTGGCAGAGCTGGCAGGCGCTGTGACCCCTGCACTTAGGAAGGGGTGAGTGCTGGGGCCCTGGCACTTAGTGACCCTGTCGGAGCCTCACCTCCTAGATCCATAAAGCAGGGATCATAAAAACCAACCGCAGGCAGCAGGACCCACAGGGCCTTCAGGTACGGGAGGCGTCCACTTGGGCAGGGAGGCTTCCCTTGCGCCGGCTGTCCCCACGCTGCCCCATCCCCAGCAAGCTCTGGTCTGCGACGTCCACCTGATGTGGCGCCCGTCAACAGGTGCTGGACACAGTGTCCTTCTCTTGTCTCGACAGATGTCAAGAATACGAACACGTGGCTGCTGTTCCTTCCCCTGTTCCCGGTGCAGGTGCAGACCCTGATAGTCGTGATCATCGGGATGGTCGTTCTCCTGCTGGACCTGCTTGGCTTGGTGCAGCTGGGCCAGCTGCTCATCTTCCACATCTACCTGAGTATGTCCCCCACCCTAAGCCCCCCGATTCCCCCAAGCCTGGGTGGTCAGAGCTGCTCATCTTATGCATCTACCTGAGTATGTTCCCCACCCTGAGCCCCCCATGCCTGGGGCCGGTGTCTTTGCCCCCCGTGTTCGCATGTGTTCAGGGTCAGCCTGTCCCAGAAATGAGATCATGGGCAAAAAGGGCAAATCACAGGAAGAAATTAAAGCCATGAGGGCCCAGCAGGCCCAGCAAGGAGCTAAACTCACACAGAGACCTGCAGGAGCAGTGCCGGGTGCTTGAAGTAACAAGTTTAAAATGTTCAGAGACAATGGAATGGGATCTATTAGAGAAGAACAAGACATTATGAAATAAGAATAGGACATTATGAAATAAGAACAGGTGGACTTAGAAAAGCAGCAAGTAGAAATTCTAACAATGAAAAATGTTACAGGCAGGTAGGTCATCCACTAACCAGACAACTGAAGCGAGAGTTGGTGGTCTTGCTGAGTCTCACAGCGGGCACAGCAGTAGGTGGTCAGTCATGTTGCTGAACCAGGGAGGGTAAACTCTCCAGCCCCAGGGAAACCTGTTGTTGGAAGTAACAACCACCTCCCTGCTCTTGGCATCAGCCGTTTTGGTCATGGTGGGCCAGCTGCAAAGCATCTTCCATTCTCTGAGCAGTGGTGGCCCTGAGGCTGTGGCCTCTCAGGGGGTTTCTTTGGACCCGGGCAGCAGAATGTGTCCAGGCCAGCCCCCAAGAATGCCCTGCTCCCAACAGCTTGGCCAACCCCTGGTCAGGGCGGAGGGAGTCGGGTGGGTCAGCCTCTGGGCTCACCTCCGTCTGCAGAGCAGCCCCTGTCTGCAGCTGTGGTGAGAATGCCCAGCTCAGAATGAACGTGCACCACCAAGAGGCTTGTTGTTCATAACCAAAGGTTACCCTACAAACCACCGTCCCCACACAACCCTGGGAATGTTTTATAACACACACCTCTAACGCACATCTTGCAGTCACTGTTGTGTTGCCTGAAGGTTGAATTTTTTTTTAATGAAAGTGCAGTGAAGATCACTGGATTAAATCCTACGGACAGAGTGCTGAATGTGGTGTTTTCAGAATTTTAATTTTGGACGTCAAGACCAGTTCCTGTATAGAGTAGGTGCTTAGGATGTGTTTACTGAATGGAATGGAACTAAAGCCTCAGATGTAACTTCACAGAGACACGCTTCTGCCTTGTAGAATGTCACAGGCTGCCCGTTCCTGAAGCCTAAACCGTTAAGCGTGAGAAGTCATTTGGGCCTCCTTCAAAACTCTCCACCCCTCTTAGAATCAGGAATATTTTTAAAAGTACTTTCTAGAATTATCTAGCAATCTTTCTTATATTTAAATATTTTTGGGTTTACCACAAAGGCTTTCCTGGAGTTTCACTCCACCCAGAATTCATCATCTCTCCTTATCAGGAAATCTCTCGCCCTCAGAGGCTCAGAGTCAGGGCAAGTCCCCCCACAACACGAGAATCGGCCAAGCTTGGGCCAAAGCCCACGTGGTCTTTTCCACACGTGCCGCAGATTAACGGACGCCCAAACTGCCCAGTGGTACCAAGTCTGCACTTGTCATTCTTTTCCAACTTTGTGCACAAAATGTTTCCTTGGGTTAAAATAGTCAATGCCAACTGTGTGCTGAGCACGTGAGGGGGCTGCAGGCTTCTGTGGGCGAGGCATGGTCACCTGCACGCTGGGACGAGAGGATGAAGAATGAGACAGGAACAAGTGTGGACGGCCTTTGTGCTGTGAAGAAGCTGGCCCTCGCCTCAGGCGGCGGAGGAGCAGGGGCAGCAGCAGGCACGGGGGTGCGGTCCCGGGGGCCAAGGAGACTGTGCCTGACCTGGGCGTCGCCGGGACTCTCCTGCTTATGGTGGATCCAGAAGCCCCCAGAGGAAGCTTGACCCATGGAAGGTGCTGGAGCCCGAGAGGCCATCCACCCCTGGTGCACTCTGTGCCCGAGTGGCTCTGCCAGCCCTGGCCACGGCCACACAGTGCAGAGCATGCCAGGAGCTGGCTGCCGCTCACACATGCACTGTTCAGTGGGCATATGAGGGGCAGAAGGCCAGGCCCCCAGCACACGGCCCACCCAGAGGGCCGACACCAGCACCCTGTTGCTCCTGGGTGCCTGGCTGTGGTCCTGGAGGCAAAGTGGTCACCTGTGTGCTTGACCATAGGTGCAGACACCACCTATTGCTTCGCCCCTGCATTTGGGACCAAGCTCAGGGGCGCCGCCGACGGCTACACCGTGTACCTCTCCTTTCTCAAGGTTTCTGACCCGCACGTGACTCCCACGCTGGCCCTGGATGTGGCACCGTTGGTGCTGTGGAAGCCTGTGCTGCTGGCATTTGGGGAGGCGTGGCCCACACACAGACTGCTTCCTGAAGGGTGTGAAGTCCCAGAGGATGAACCTTTGCCATCGGGGGGCATCAGCCATTTGTTCCTGTCTCCTGCAGTGGTACCTTCCCCACATCAGAGACCAGCGAGGAGATGCCCCCGCCAGGCTATGTCAGGCCTGGGGAGAGCAGGGAAGTGCAGTGGGCCTGAAGCCATGTAGGGCTGGGAGGGATGGCCTGGTCTGTCCTCCGAGCCGGGCACTGCGTTTGCAACGGGCTCCTTGAACACAAAACCCAAATCAGGTGTGGCAGAAACATGAAAGGACAGACAGGTGGGTGCTGTGGGCAGACAAACCCCCACGACCACAGCAGACAGCATGATGCCTGGAGGCACGATGCCCTGGCCTAGTCCCGCCCCCATGACCCGGAGCCTCCCTGGGCAGTGACTCCAGGACAGCTGGGAGCTGCTTCTCTACCTGGCAGGGCTCCCGGCTCCACAGCCCCAGGCGACTCCCAGCCTCCCTTGCTTTTGGCCTCTGAGACCGTCGATGCAGGAGGTGTCTCACCACAGCCTCTCCTGGTCACCCAGTTGGCCCCAGGGGCTCGGGAAGGGCCCCCAGAGGAGTCATGCCAAGGAGGGGACCTGCACACAGCAGGGAGGTGTGGCCACGAGCCCACCCAGCTGGCTCAGGGCTTGTGTGGTGTGGAAGAGGCCAGTGCAGAGCAGCTGATGGGACCTTCTCCCTCTGCAGGGCCTCGCCCCCGGTGTACGTACTGGCAACCTTAGGCACCTGCCCCTGGCTGGTCAGCTGCCCCTGGACCTGGGAGACTGGCTCTGGGCATGGGCTAGAGTTCCCTTTCCCAAACAGCTGCTGAGGCTCCAAGGAAGACCCTGGACTCCTGCTAAAACGCGGCTCAGTCCCCACCCACCCATCCTGTGGCTGCCTGTGGCCTCCAGGAGGAGGTGGTGTGGGGTGGCCTGCTGTGGTCGTGTGAGTTTGTCTAGTGTGGAGACATCCCAGCTGAGCCAGAGAAGCCACAGAAACCATGTCAGGGGTCCTGGTCACCGAGGCGTTTCCCGAGGATCTGAATGTGGGCAGGGCAGGCCGTGAGAAACACGGGCCACCTTGTGCCCGACATCCCAGAGGGAAGCCAGGGACACAGAGCTGGCAGGCAGCCTCCAGAGTCATCCATACATCATGGCGAGCTTGCAAACACAAGGAAGGGTGGCCTGGGGAGCTGTCTGGGACTCCAAACTAGCAGCACTTAAAGGCCCACTGAGGTCAACGTGAGGACGGGGCCTCCGCGGGCCCCTGGGTCCCAACCCAGGCAACTGGAGTGATGAGTGCTTCCATGAGCGGAACACGGGCCACGGGTCTCTCAGACCTTGACGGAGCCAGGGCTGAATGTGTTGATTTTAGGGTATTTAGACATCAAAGAATAGATTTCCAGGACAAAGTGGGTAGATTGGTTATTGTTAGTTGTGGTAAAACTGCCCCATAACGTAGCTGCTCAGTGCAGCACGTCATCACCTCAGCCTCTGTGGTCAGGAGGCCAGCACCTCTGAGCTGTGTCTCTGCCAGGGTCCCTGGAGAGGTGTCCACTGGGGCTCTGGGCTGTGCTCTCATCCAGAGGCCTGAGAGGCCATCTGCCTCCCACTCCATGAGGCTGAGGCAGCTGTGGAGGGTGGTCCTCAGGCCAAGGTCGCCAGTCTCCTGTGCAGGCTCCTGGAGGTGCAGCCTGGCCTGCATGTGTGTTCTGTTCCTCTGGGGGCAGGTGTCGGGTGGGGGCCATGGGGAGCTGTGTCAGAAGCAGCTGGCCACTCAGACTTCATTTTGAAGCTGGAGGACGGACCTTGGAGAGTCCTCAGTGCTTGTGGTGAGGGCACAATTCCCTGAGCAGGTGAGTGATGTGGGGCTGCCTTCCAGAGATGGATGGGAGCCACATTCACGGTAGATTGTAGAGAAAACCTGCTTGATGAGGTCAGGGAAGCACAGCCTTCCCCACATTGCCCGGCCGGCCAGGGAGCCCCGGCCATGCTGGAGACCCTGGGCCCGCCTGGGAGGTTTTGCGGCTTCCCTGCCCTCAACCTCACCATGACGCTCAGGTTAACTGTTTCCCACAGAGCTCACCCGCACCAAGTGGGCCTCTGGCAGCCACAGGGCACGCTGAAAATTTGGTTTTGATGGTATTTGTGCAAACCTGGGCAAAAGAACATATATTTTAACTTGAATATAAACAAGCACAAGTTCGTGTGCTCAAACCACGACAGGTTCTGGGGGGCGTGGAGGACTAGCCCGAGCCATGTGAAGCAGCTCAAGGCCCGGCCAGGGCCGAACACCCAAAACACTGCAGGGACGGGCTGGGCTGGCTGCAGGCAACTCCATAGGGCACCCACCGCCATCTGCTCCTCACTGCAAATAGGCCTCTGGGCGGCTGCCCCAGTCTCCAGAAATAGTCACGAGACATCAGCTCTCACGGTGTTGGTGCTTAGGGAAAGCAGCATGGAGATTTTGGCACCTCCCCGGAAGCTCGTGGCTGAAATAGGTGTAGAGTCCATTTTATTAACGTTTATTAAGACGAGTCTTTTAGATAAACGGGTGTCTCAGGTTTTCCTTTGCTTCGATGCGCTGCTTTGCTGCCTACAGTGCAGGCCGGGTGGATGGGGCTCTGGCCGGCCTGCTGAGGTGGGCTGTGCAGGGCTGCAGGGATGTGACCTGTCTCGGCCCCATCAGAGGCTGTGCTGAGTGGCACTGACGGCACTCCTGTTCACCTCCTGGGCCTGGGGCTCTGAGCGCCCGCAGCAGTGTGTGGTCCCAGGACCCGCTAGCCAGCACCTCGGGGTGGCCGCCGCACTGTCGTCCTCTGACTTCGGGGTCTCTGTGAATCCCCCAAGGTGTGCCCCACCCCGTGTCCAGATGTGAGGAATCCCGCAGGCCACCTGGACCCTCAGACAGAGCGGCCCCTCCTGAGCTGGCCTCTGACCCCCGCCGGTGTTCCCAGGGGATCTGGAGCAACCTCTCAGGCTGCATGGTATGGGGGACCCAGGTCTGTGAGAGGCAGCTTCTCTTCTGACACCACTGACGATGCAGCTCAGTGAGGCCTTGGTGGGCAGGGGGGTGTGGAGCGGTGCCGGTCCCCAAGTCACAGCTGCAGAGCTCTCTTGCTGACCATCAGCTAGCTGTGGAGCTGGACCCACGAGGCGCCTGCACCCATCCTGGCCTCACAGGGCCTGCGTGGTGGGCGGAGCACCGCTCCCTGCGCAGGGGCTGGGTCAGTGGCGCTGGCTGCCTTTCTGAACTGTCCTGTGGGCGCTGCGCAAAGCTGCAGGGCTGGTAACTTGTCCTGTTCCTCCTTTCCTCTTTCCAGAGGCCAAGAAGCTGACCACCTTTGAGTATCTCATTAAGACCCGCAAAGAAGAGAGTTCAAAACACCAAGCGGCGAGGAAAGATCCATGCACGCAAATGGAGGAAGGATTTCTCCAGGTACTGCTTGTGTCTCTGTTCCGTGTCTCAGGCCTGGGACAATGTCTAAGGTCGCTCTGGTTGGCATGCTCCTTTGCTTCAGGGCTGGTGCAGCCTATGAACTCTGCTGTGAGTGTGTGTAGTGCGTGTGTGTCTGTGTGTGAGGCTATGTGCATGGGTGTGTCTGTGTGTCTTTGTGAACTTAAATACCAGAAATGCACCAACGACTTCCTAGTGCAAAGATAGTAATGGAACTGAGTCTCCTAAACATTTCTGTTTTTTTGAGACAGAGTCTCGCTGTGTTGCCCAGGGTGGAGTGAAGTGGTGAGATCTCAGCTCACTGCAGCCTCCACCTCCTGGGTTCAAACAATTTGCCTGCCTCAGCCTCCCAAGTCGCTGGGATCACAGATGTGTGCCACTACACCCGGCAAATTTTTATTTTTTTATTTTTAGTAGAAATGTGGTTTTGACATGCCAAGCTGGTCTCAAACTTCTGGCCTCAGGTGATCCGCCTGCCTTGGCCTCCGAATGTGCTGGGATTACAGGCATGAGCCTCTGTACCTGGCCTGAAACACGCTTTTTAACTTAAGGAAGTTAGTTCCCTTTCTAGTTAAGTGACATGAATTATTATAACTAACTCAAGAAGACACAGAAAATCTCAACAGACATAGAGCTGCCGAGAGACTGAACTACTAATTTAAAATCTCCCAGTGAAGAAAAATCCCAGGCCCTGAAATCTTCATACATGAATTCTAGCAGAGATTTTAAGGAAATAATATAATACCAACTACACACAGACTCTTTTAGAAAACAGAGAAGGAAGCAACACTTCCCAACTCATTCAGCAATGCCACCATCAACCTGACACCAAAAACACTTCCCAACTCATTCAGCAATGCCACCACCAACCTGACACCAAAAACACTTCCCAGCTCATCCAGCAATGCCACCATCAACCTGACACCAAAGCCAGGCGTTCGTAAGCCAATACATTCAGGAGACACAGGCAAAGACCACTGATAAGACCTTGGCAAACCAAATCCAGCAGCACCGGGCAGGACCTTGCACTGTGGCCAAGTGATATCACTCCGGTGTAAGCAGTGGCTTAAGGCCTAGAAATCAATTACTACAGCTCAGCACGTTCGTCCAATAGAGAACAGTGACCATGTGATCAAGCCAATCAATGCAGAAAAGAGTTTGTTACCAGCAAGTTCCCATTCATGATTTTTAACAAATCTCAGTGACCTAGGAATGACAGGAAAGCACCCCGTGTACCTGACATGACATTTCCTGGTGAAAGGCTGGTGACCCTCTCTCTGAGGCTGGGCACAGGGGATGACGCCCCCTCCTCCTACTTCTGACGTTGCCGGAACATTCCGGCCAGCCCAACGCAGCAGGGAAAATGAAGGCACACAGAATACGAAGTAAAACTGTTTATTTGCAGGCAACAAAATCCTAAAAGTATGTTTTAAGACCCAGTTAAGATAATAAAATCGCTTAACAAGGATGTGGGGCACGTATTAAAATACATCCTCACACATCTCTATCCACCAGCAATGAAAAATCTGGGTTATATTTTTAAAACTTCCTTTCACAATCTTATAAAAAAGAATAAATTCGACAAACCTTGTGCAAATATATACACTGAAAGCTACACACCATGACTGAGAGAAGTCAGAGATGCTCTATTGAGTGAAAAGGTATACAGCATTCATAGATTGGAAAAAAATACTATTGAAAGAGCAATTTTCCCCAAACCTGATCTACAGATTTACCACAATCCCTGCTGAACCCCAGCAGCTTCTGTTTTAGCAGAGATGACAAGGTGGTCCTGAAATACATATGCAAATTCAAAAGACCTAAACTACTATACAAGCGAAAACAATTTTGAGAAAAAATAAAATTGGAGAACTTATGCAACGAGACTTTAAATTTTGCTATAAAGCTGTAGCACTAAAGACAGTGTGGCGCTGACATGGAGAGAGACATAAAGTTACAGTAATAAAAACAGTGTGGCACTGACGTAGAGATAGATATACAGAAATGGACCAGAAGAAAGGTCCAAAGTTAAACTTTTCATTTATGGTCAATTGACTTTAAATAATTGTACTAAAATAATTAAATGGGGAGAAATTATAGTTCAACAAGTGGTACTGTTAACAATTGGATATCCACATGGAAAAGAAAAAAGAATGATTTGAGTTCTTCATACCTGTACAAAGATTACCCAGGACCACTTCATTCCCCACACAAAAATTAGCCCCAAATCCATCTGACACCTAAACTTAAAAGCTGAACATAGAGCACTTCTAGAAGCAAGCATGTAATGAAATCTCTGTGATCTTTAGTGAGACAAAGGTTTTCTTTGATATGACACCAAAATCACTGCCTATTAAAGAAAAAAATCATAGTTTGGATGTTACCAAATTGGAAAATATTTGCTGTTGAAAAGTCACCATTAAGAAAATAAAAATACAGGCACACATGAGAGAGATTGCAGGTTTGGTTGTAGAAAACCACAATAAAGTGAACTTCTCAGTAAAACAAGTCACGTGAACTTCTGGTTTCCCAGTGCGTATAAAAGCTATGTTTACATGACACGTGTGCAACAGCATTATGTCTAAAAACTATGTGTCTGAATTAAAAGTGCTTTATTGCTGAAAGCTGCTTACACCGACACTCAAAGTGAGCACATGGTGCGGGGAAAATGGCGCCGATAGACTTGCTTGACCAGGGTTGCCACAAACCCTCAATTTGTAAAAAAAAAAAAAAAAAAACAGCATCTGTGAAGTGCGGTAAAGCAAAGCACAATACAGCAAGGTGTTCGTTCCTGTGCAAGCCACAGGCAAACAAAATATTTTCAAGTCTTAGACTGATGTCCGGAATACACAAAGACACAAAAGAGCTTTCAAAGTGCAATTGTAAAAAACAAACAAAAACACACAAACAAACAAGAAACCCAGTTTTTCAAAAGGGCAAGAGAGCGGGGCACAATGGGAAGCTCCTATAATCTCAGTGCTTTGGGAGGCCAAGCAAGAGGATTGCCTGAGGCCAGAAGTTCAAGACCAGCATGGGCGTCTCTACAAAAATAAATAAAAATACATACATACATACATAAAATGGGCAAAAGATTTGAACAAACTCCTTACCAAGGTAGATACATAGATATATGGATGCCACATAAGCACATGGAAAAAAATGTCAACATCGTTCTACATCAGGCAGCTGCAAATTAAAACCACAATCAGATACTACCACACACCCAGGCGAATGCCTGTCATCAAAAAGACAGACACCACTAAGGGTCAGTGAAGTTGTAGAGAAATTGCAAGTCTCCTGCATTGCTAGTGGGAGTTAAATGAGGGTGTAAAGTGCTACCACCTTGGAAGGCAGTTTGGCATTTCTTTAAAAGATAAATGTCTATGACCGGAATCCCACTCCCAGTTTCTCATCAGAGAAATGAAAATGCGTGTACACGTAAGTGGTTCTGAGATCTGAACTCAGGACCCAAGAGAACTCCAGGTACCATTCCTCAAAACCCACTAATAATAGACTTGACTTTTATGTAAGAATCAGCTGCATGTCAACAACTTCTTTTTTCATGTTACGAATTTCCGTTTACCCCACAGCAAGGAGACGGCGCCCTGGGCTCATCTGCACAGGGGTAAGTTGCCAGCTTCCTGCAGTTGCTTGGTCACTGAAGAATAGCTGTATTCTTTTCTTAACTCAAATGACTGGAAAATAATTTACCTATGATGAGACATTTTGACATCATGGGATGATGCAGTAGAAGATAAAATAGTTTTGTTTAACTTTGTTAAATTATACCAAATCATCTATCTCGATGTGCTTGTTTTACTTGCAGAAACTACATTCTTCACTCCCTTCTTCATAACTAACATGTAAACTAATGCACAAGAATAAGACCCCCTTATTTATTTCTACATCTCTCCATGAACACATGTGTAGTTGTGAGTCTGAATGTATTTCTGATGATCTCTAATAGTGTTTCGTGTAAATTGTAAGCTCTGAGAGTCCAACCCGTTCCTGAGTCAAAGTGGTAAGTAAATGGGAGCTCTGGGGGCGCCTTGACCCTGGAGCCCCACCCAGCAGGGCCAGGGTTGGCTTCACAAACAGGGTTTCAGGAAGTGTCTTTGAGCCAGTGTTGTGCAGTGCAGGTCGTTTTATTTTGGAGGCTAAGAGTCAAAGGGCATGTGCATTTTCCGTCTTCACAGACTCTTTCTGATGACTTCCCCAAAAGGGTGGAGCAGTTCACACTTCATTCAACCCTGTCACTCTTTTCAGCATGAGATACTAATAGTATGTATAGTTTTATTCAAAGAAAATATATAATATTTTAATATGCATTTGCTTACTACCATTAGGACTGAAGATTTCTTCATGTTTTGACCATTTTACCATTTTTCTGGTGTGAATTAACGTTCAACAGTTGGGTTATTTGGATTATCAAACATAGTGACTCTTTGCATATTAGGAACCCTATGGGATCTTTCACCGTGTAGAGGTTGTAAACTTTTCTGAAGCCAAATTTGTGAAAATTGCCTTTTATCTTGCCTTAAAAAGTCTTCTTTAAGGTTATACAAATATCCTCCAATACTCTTTACTAATATAGTCCTATTTTTTGTTTGTTACCTTTACATTTTGACTTTTCAGGCCAGATGGCATTTATTTTTGTATTTGGTAACAGAGGAGCTAAGGTTATTTAATCCCAACAAAGTAACTGTTGGTTTTCACCTCTTGTATTAGATAATATTCCTTTCCCCTCATACTGAAAGGCCCTTTCCTGGCTCGCTGTGTTTCCCTGAACGCAAACCAAGGTTTGTGTCTGGATGCTCGTCTCTGTCTCATGGGTCTGTGTCCTGGAGCTGCATGCACCATCTGTTTAAATTATGGAACCTTATTTAGCTACTGTATTTTAGTATCTGGCAGGCAAACCTCTGTCTAAAGATTTTTTTTCATTTTTCATTTACTTTAAACAATTCTTACACATTTGTTTTTAAATATGAGCTTTAAAATCACTCTGTCCAGTTTCAAGAAACATGAAATTCAAACTGGAGTTGCATTAGCCACAGGCCTGCCCTTGGGAGGGGCCTGCATCACAGCCCCCACGGAGAAGCAGCAAAGTGTCTGAATTTCACTTTGGACTATCATGGAACGGTGGTCCTTTAAGTAAAATAGAAAAATGCTTTCTCTGTGATGCATTTTGGACAAGATTAATAGAAACCTAGGTATAACCAGAATTGTAAACTTCCACTCGAAAACCAAAACAAAATGAAAAACAAAAAATTTTAATGATTGCCAAGTCAACGTATATACATTGTAGAAAATTTGGGAATGGCAAAGATTGCCAGGTAGAAATGAAAGTCATGTAGAGTCCCTGACTCACCCTTAGCCACTGTGGGCACCTGGCGTGGTGTCTTCCCGGTCGTCCTTTTGAATGATTTTTCTGTGTACGATGTGCATGAAGTGCTGATTTATAAATTCTAGTCACCTTGTACAACTGTTTTGGAGCCTGCTTTTGAACTTCAAATATTGTGAGCATTGTTCTCTTAAAGGAAAAAAGAATGGCTTGTATGGGTATAAATCATCCCGTCTTTGGGATCTGTTACGGTCCCCATTTCTGGAATAGTGTGTTTGATTTTCAGTCCAGTCTGTGCTTTTCTGACAGACTGATGAGCTAACCTCATGCGGAAAGGGTTAAGATGTTGCAAGTAGGATAAAGACAGTGCAAGTTGACAGGTCCTCTAGATGCCATGGGTACCAAGACACCCATCGCCCACCTTCTGTTGTGGGAACTGTTTGCAGGCCACCTGGCAGTTTGGAACACTTGCCACATGGACAGCTAACCACTCACAGCCATGGTCTTCACTGCAAGCCTGGCGTCGCCCATCACAGAGTTCCTCCGTATCGGGAAAGACATCTGCATCCTATGGCACTGTGCCAACACCAAAAAAATCCTGTCACTAAATGCCTGTGGGGAGAGAGATGTGAAGCACAGTCAGAGTTTAGGGGGAGCTTAGGGAAGGGTGCACGGTGTCTGCTGCAATGGTAGCTATCAGGCCGGTTCACAGAGAGCATTTCTTCGAAATGGTCCATCACAGCCCGTGTTTCCTCTGCGCTGCTTCGGGTGTTTCAATGCGGGGTGTGCTCATGCGGAGCAGACAAGATGCAAACGTGGACACAGCAGGGCCCCACAGGCTTCCCGTCTAACTTGAGGGGGTTCCCATCAGTTCGTGTCCACCAGGTGGCTGGTGTTAGCTTCCCATTTACCGCAGCAAATTACTACCAATCCAGGCATTCAGCAAGCACTCCAAGTCAGCTCCGTGGGTCCAGGCCTGGCTAGCCCAGCGGGTCTGTGCCGAGGGCCTTGCAGGGCAGGAGGCGCGGTCGGTGGCCAGAGTCCTCTCTGAGGCTCCTGCGGAAGAATCTGCCCCAAGCTCATTCAGGACCCAGTGGGAATCATGGCTCTCTCGGGCTCCATGTAGCCCCCTCGAACTTCCTGTCAGCACTGGGTGTCGCATCCTCCCTCTCGGGCTCCATGTAGCCCCTCGAACTTCCTGTCAGCACTGGGTGTCGCATCCTCCCCCTGCTTTCAGTGTCTGGGTTCTTCCTCCTCATTTCTGTTTTTTGAGGCTCAGGTGATTACATGGGGCCTGTGTGGATAATCCAGTTCCCTCCTCCTATCTTAGTGTCCTCTGTCTGCTGCAAGAGATGGCCACGAATGGGTAACACTGTGGACTCCAAAGTGCCACTCTGTCCATTTGCCAATGAGCCAGGCTGCACCGACTGAGGACACACGCTGGCTGAGGCTCTGGTCTAGGGCGGGGCCCGCACAGTGGGAGGGGGCCCTGCTTTGCAGTGTCCGAAGTGGGAAGGAGTCCTGGTCCTTCACACAGGAAGCGCCTTGTGTTTCCCACTGTGCAGTAACCCGGGAGCACTCAGGCAACCTCCCAGGAGCTGCTGGTCTCCTGGTCCTGAGGCACATGGTCCCCACAGCAGTGGTGCTTACAGGACACGCTGCAGCCTCCAGTGCCGCCCTGAGACCCCCACAAAACTGAGATGAGTTTCTCTCCTCCTGCCCGTCCCACCAGAGACAAGGCCAAGAATTCTCTGCTGACGTTTAAGTGCCTGTATCACCACTCCACTCCCTTACCCTCGGACAAGAGCTCGTCGGAACAGGTAAGTTACAGTCACCGGCAATGTACCCTGAGGATGGGGTCGTGTGCAGAATGTGTGGTCTGAGGTCCCCCAAGCTGAGGTTATGGCGGTATTCAGAATGGAAGCACTCTGTGTCCAAGGGTGCTGCTCACGTGGGAATGATGGTGGGTGGAGCATGGAAGAGAGATGGAGTGAGAGGCAGGAACGTTTCCCAGCTGTGGGTGAGAGACACAGACGGGTACCAAAGCGGGAGCCCCCAGCACTGGAGCGCCACCGTCAGGCTGTGGTGATGGGCAGATGCCCAGGGCAGTCTCTGAAGTGCCCAGAACACGCAGCGAGGGACAGTGCTCTGATAAAGGATGGAGGGAAATTGTTAGCCGTGTCTATTCCCTAACAATAGAGGGAAATTGTTAGCCAAAAGCGTGTGGTTTTGTGTGTGGTGTGTGGTCACGTGTATATGTGTGAATGGTGTGTGTGTGTTACATGGACTCCGTGTCTGTGCTTCACAGGAAAAGACCAGCACGGCTGCCAGCTTTAGGGCCACGTATTTCTGTTCCTGGTCTGGGGCTGGCTTCCAGAGGTTTCTGCTGGGTCATTATTTAATTTTTAGAGATGGGATCTCACTCTGTCACCCAGGGTGGATTGCAGTGGTGGGATCAGGGCTCACTGCAGCCTCTACTTCCTGGGCTCAAGCAATCTTCCCACCTCAGCCTCCTGAGTAGCTCAAAGTCCAGGCGTGTGCCACCACACCCAGCCAATTTATTTTTTATTTTTTGTTTCTTAAGCGGTGGGGTCTCACTGTGTTGTCCAGGCTTGTTTGGAACTTCTAGTCTCAAGTGAGCCCCTAGCCTCAGCCTCCTATAGCACAGGGATTACAGGAGTTAACCCCCCCCACCAGGGTGCAGGGGGGTCCTTTTGAGCAGGCTTTGTGAGGCGGCCAGTTTCTGGAGGTTACAGGTGACTTCCCCTTCTCTGTGGGGCGGGGCCTCCTCACCACACTTCCCCAGGATTTCAGGGAACAGGCTCTTGAGACTTGGAAGTGAAAAGGGATCAGCCCAGCCTGGAGGAACAGCGACGCTGGCGTCCAAGCCCTGTGCTTTGCCTGCACTTCCAGAGAAGATTTGGAGATACACTCAGTGGAAACCGATCGAGCCCCCAGCCCTCCCCCACCCAGACTCAGCCACCAACGTTCCCTCACTCCATGTGTCACACGGGCTCACGGGATTTTCTCTGCCTGCGATCGTCCACGTGGACGCCTGCTGCCCGGGTGCAATCGTGAGTCCCTTGGTCTCTCCGCAGCGTCTCGCTGTAGATGATGATTTACAGTCACTCTCGCGTGAAGCCACGTGACACCTGGTCTGAAGCAGAGAAGATCCGCTCAGCATGAGGTTGAATCCCAAGCCCGCATCTCTGTGGGCTACAGACAATCCTATGGAAGAGACTCCGTTGGTTCATTGTTCACCTCGGGGAGGAGAATTCCGTCTG